AAGGCATGAAAAGGCAAGGAAAAGCCGGCCCACACGCAAACGTAATCATACATCACTTGCAAAGATATCATTTTCGTTCATGATATCTCTCAGGCTACAAAAGGTAAAAGCCAATGTGCAGATATGGAGACATAACCGTAAGCTACCAGGCCTTATTAATTATTCTTTAGTCCAACGTCCTTCGTACCAGTGATAGAATGCGATAGGAGGTTATCAGTTTTGATGTTTGATCATTTCGACTTCATGACTTTTTAGTTTTGGTGTCAAATTGTTTATGGCCATAGATAGCCCTACATGCACTTTCGATAGAAATGCTGAAGTCTGCTGCTGCCGTTAGAACGCAGAAAAGTGGCGCTTCGAAGGTGCCATTTCTTTAAGTTCTCCCTTCCTTCTGCATGCCTGCTCGCTGAGCCGAATGCAATCTATACTGTTTCAAATGATTTCTCGCTGAGATTAAGGGAGTCACATATGGAATGCACTAGGACCTTTATCGAGTAGGTTGGTAGTCATCTAACATGTGATCCACCAAAATTGAGGTTTAGGATGGATTGTACACTTGTTGTTGAATTCAATATTACTTCAAACTATTGGTCCTTGCCGGAGGAAATTACTTGATGGGATCCCATCGTAAATCAATTTGCTTATTGGACCCATCAAGTTTTGTTTAACCCGATGAGAGCCCAATGACGACCATGTCATCCATATTCTTTCGATCCGACGGTGAAATGAGTATGAACAAGAAACAATGAGTATTGATTTCTCAGGTATGTGTCGTGGGTTTTATGAGCTGGATTTTATATGGGGGCTGACATGAGTCGGAAAGAGTGACAAAAATTGCTCGGGTTTGTTGCGCAACAGAGAGTGAGAAATGGCAGCCGTCGCCCCCGGAGGTTCATGGTCATTGGTCACCAGCGCGATAGCTGGTGCTGTGTAGCAGGCAGCGAAGAGTACATTGGCCAAGGCGAGCAAGGAAGTTGAATCTCTTCGAAGGGTTGAAGGCCAAGAACAAGGTCATGGCCTTGGGATTGAACACCAGCACTGAGGAGAAGTTTGTCCGCTTGGCCATCAATTGCTGGCTCGATCAAGAATTACCAAGCCGGAGCAAGGAAGTCCAGTCTCTTTGGAGCGTTGAAAGTCAAGAACAAGGCCATGGCCTTGGAATTGACCGCCAGCACTGAAAAGAAGTTCATCAGCTTGGCCACCAGCTGCTCGCTCGATTCAGGATCATCTTTGATTGACACCACAATTTTAGTTTCAAAATTCAAAATTTGGAACATAAAAAAACTATGGAAAACAAGTCTTCATAATCAGTTTTATTTTTATAGAACCTGCACAAACCTGATTTGTGTGCGAGCATTCGAAGATCCTTTTTACCTTTCATAAAGTTTCACTGAAACGAAAGTTTCTTTGATCCGTGGACTTCACTCCAGCTCCTGCATGCTCCAATTCGTTCCTCCTCTGCACATTATTGCTCGGCATTCTTAGTATCATCGTTGGATCGATAGAAGAACATGGTTGACGTCGCTGTCTTTGGAGCCCCATCTGGTAGAACAAAACTTGATAAGTCAAAATAAGAATTATTTTTTCAATGGTATCCCGTCAAGTAATTTTCTCTCCTTGCCGCAATCAAAATTGACGTCAACCCTAAATCCAATAGGTAATGAGGAGCTGCGATTAATAAGGCAAAATTGGATGGAAATAGCCTATCTTACATGAATGAAACAAGTTAGGCAAGATGGCAAATTCAAGAACATCAAGATGAAGAATTAATAACCTATATTTGCAACTCCAATGATATGAATAATTTGCATGAAGCTCATACATAGCATTGTAATATCTAAAGAATCATCACCTAATGTGGTCATGCGTAAAATTATTTGAATGCTTGGAAAGCGAAGTCATGCAGGAGTGAATTAGTGTAGTAAATTTCAACAAGTACCGTCGCGAATTGCTTCATGATGAAAGCGTGAGTGTTTCCGAGACAGAGGTTGCGGGTTTGATTTGGGCAAATCGGAAGTGCAAATGCACAAGAAAATGGAGAAAAGTGAAGTAATGTGATCGGACATCGTGAGTTGGTCCAGGCAAACTGGGAGTACAAAGAAAGATGACCAACTCTTCAAACTGACAAACCTTTCCTTTATTCATGCGAAGTAATTCAAACGCCTTAAACGATTATTGCCAAGACACCGGAATAAAATTAGTGAAATGTTCATGCCATAAATGAGAGTATTTTAATTGATTCCAATTCATATAGAAATGCAACGATTGAAGAAAGATATAATTGATTTCACTCAGATCAAAACTCATATTAGATTTTTTATGAAAATTATCAATAAAAAAGATACAAGGACGAACGTTCTTAGTTTCGGGTATTTTAGGCGTTGAACGCTGGCTCTTATAATCTCCTTGAAGTCTCTAATGATAATTTGTAAGATTAGAAAAATCACTATCAAGATGCAAAAGAACAGGGTTATCTAAATTTTGGCAAATGCCAAAATTAAGATGAAAATTTTGCCAGAAATAATTAATTTTGGCAAACCTGCAATTTTCTGGAATTTATGAGGCCTGCTGTAGTGTCAAATGAAGCATATATATATATATATATATATATATATATATATATCAATGATATTATCATATATTGTTAGTACTATGCCAACATATAATATAGTATTGATATTAAGATTTTTATTACTTTGATATTTGGATAAGAATTAATTTTTTTTCTTGATTTTTGATTATTATCACACGTAGATGTGAATAGTGAAGATGAATGTATCAACCAGTGTGAGATATATTGATATATTACAAAAGTAGATTGATTTCAAAAATCATGATGCATCATTTACAAAAATTCAAAAACATGCATAGTAAGAACATATATTTGGATAAAAAATAGTCCATGTATTAAAAGATTGTGTCAACATTGATGAATTTTTTTTCAAATTAGAATATAAATTTCTAAAATTATTGTCTATTTGCTATATGAAATTTAATTTCAAAGACATATATAGATATAAATACATACACATATATCTCTTCATGATATTGAATAATACCTATATCAAACTTAAAATTGATTATATCCTTGCAGATTTTCATATCAATATATAGTTATTAGATAAATGAACATACATAATTACTGGGATGATTTATAATAAGTATATTCCATAATGTTCGATATTTATTATATCTTTTATTATATGCATATATTATATGTGCACATCAAAATTCATTACAAAAGGGTAAAAAATCTACAAATGTGAAAAAATAAAGAAGAAAATTTATCTCACAACAGCAAAGAATATTGAAACAATACAACGGATTGAATTATTTTTGAGAATCACATAATATACTCTGAGTTGGATCATGATACGATGAACTCACTGTACTACTAGATGCAGTAAAAAATCTTCTGCGGAATTAGAAGTCTATTATTCTTCATTCGCTTGAAATTCAATTTTTTTAGCACTTTTGTCGCATTCACCAGATATATTCCTTAGAGTGTAATAATTAAAGGTGATTACTTTTATGATTCTAAATGTTGCATATTTGAGATGTATGTGAACATAAGAATGCATGATTTTATTATTCAGAACAAAATAAAGTTTTCTCATCATCATTTGATAAATTTTGAAAATTGATATTGATAAAAAACCTTATCAATTTATCCTTATATATGATGGAACACGAGGATAATCATAAACGATGAGATATTCCAGTTGTCATAGACTATGGATTCTCATTGAGCCTCGGACAATGGGTTGGTTGCAAATTTCTGCCTTTCACTTGGCCCCAACTTCCAGACGGAATAGGCACAAAAACGACCGAACGAGCAGATCAACAGACATTACCGGTCGCCGGTGATTCATGAAATTCCGGCGGCAGCGGAGCCGGGTTCTCTCGCCGGTGCTCCCGCTACTGCCCCCGCGCCGCCACAAGGAGCGAGCGCAAGAGGCCCCCCACGATGCTCGCGGGACCGCTGGACTGTTGGGCGTCTACGCGCGCTCTGCGGCCCCGCAAGCGCCCGCGCCCGCGGAGGCAGGCCAAGGAATGAACGGGCGCCCGAGCCCCCCGGCCCCGGCCAGTGCGACGACAGTCGGTCGACGAGAGGGAAATTCCAGAATCCTGTGGGTCCGTCCTTTTGCAATCTGCTCGATCGGTGCTGAGGATGCTGGCGATCCATGGGCGCCGATCGCTGGCTAGGGTTGAGCACATCGATGTGGCGGACATGGCTCCTGGCTTCGGATGCTCTTCTGAGCCACGGGCCGATCCGATCTCTCTGCCTGGAGGAGTTGCTGCTTCTCGCGTGGCTGTGGTGGGATCTGAGAGAGGCTCGGCCATGGGCGATTCGGTGTGAAGGATTTTGTGGCACTGTCTCTGTACATTGTTCTTGTTCTCGTGCTTGATGGTGATAGACTCACATTTGTAGCTCGAGTCGAGCTGGAGCCCAGCTCTGGCGCTGGTGGACTGTAAGGCTGGGCTGTCTGAGCGTGAGTGAGCATCAGGGGAGATCAGAGAGGTTCTAGAAACATGCAATCGTTCACCTCTGCTGCGCCGACATCGTGCTGATCACGGGTTTTGGTTAAGCATTGAAGGGAATTCCCGGATTTGTCGCTCAGTTGCAATATTCCTGATCGACGAATCGCCTGACGTGATTCATGCACGACAAGGATTGTTTCTACCACATCCTTGCGATCGAGACTTCTGCCCTCTTCCTTCTGCCTTTGACCTGTTGAGATCCCGCTGTTTCACCGAGCTAATTACAGTATAAGTAAATGAAGCACGATGAGACGTGGGAAGACCTGAAGGAATCGATGGTTGTAAACATCTGGCTCTTGCCGAACTGACCTGACATGGCTTCCACGCAATTTGCGATGTCTGGCAACCAACAGGAGAGATAAAACTGAAATTGAAACTTCTGTCCTAGCTCGCCACGATGCTTCATACGCACAGAAATGCGCAACAATACACTTCACTGGGTGTTACAATTTCTACCTCCTGTCAAATTCGCAGGCCAAGTCCAGAAATCTCTGGTAGCGAGTGATTTATTACGTTCAACTCATATATACACAAGCCTGGGCTGTACACGTAGTTTCAGAGAGATAAAGAGCGACCCGATCTTACTTGCTCGAGCCACTTCGGAAAAGGATCCTACAAAAACTCCACGAAGCCACAGCTTCAGCTCTGTGCTTTTGCTGACTTCCTGAATCTAAAATGCGACCTGCTCCTCTCGTTAAATGCTGGGGAGGCGTGTGACAGTTTGGTGTGAGTCCATGGCCTCGAGCTGGATACCGAATTTTGCATCGACTACGTCGTGCCCAGCTCAGCCCTCCAGAGCGCACTCTCTCCTCTCTCTCGAGAGGAGAGAGTGCGCAATTGGCGCAATCGAGTGTAAACGTAAGCCCACCAGATGGGCAAAGTTCAACTCAAACTCTGAAGCTCAGAATCCTGAGGAGTTGTTTAACAGGCTGTGTAAAAGTGTAACGAAGTGCTCTGCGAAGTCGTCACGGATTAAAATTCTTGGTTTGAGCAAAGGTCCATGTATCGAGCAAAGGATTGCTCAATCCATGGAAGCTGACAGGAAGCAGCATGAGTTCCAGGCTAAGGAGTGGCTGTGAGGAGGCATGGGTCGTTGCCTGCTTTCAGTCGCTCAGAGAGCAGAGCATGGCAACTCCTCGCTTGGTCCAGTGACTCGGGGGCTTAGTCGTGGGCATGCGAATGCTCATGAGAAAGTTGGTGGAGTGGCCGGTGGTGGCAAGCACTCCCCTCCTCTCGGCTGTTCTGTACACGGGGCAGTTGTAGGTTTTGGAGGGCGGGATGTCGACGATGGCCATGGGTCTGAGCCACACAGTGGGGGCTGTGACGTAGATGACTTTGGGCTTGGATTCGCAGAGTACTTTGGCACTGACATCCCACGAGCAGCCTTCCAAGTACAGGCCTTTGATGTAAACCCCTTCATCTGCTGTCTTCTTGGGATCGCTGTCCATCATCGTGAAATCGAATGCTATTCCATCGATGGCCAGCTTCTTCCTGCGTGCGTAATTCTGGAGTGCTGCTGTCATGAACGACTGTGCGAAGAAAAAGCCGCTCACCCAGCTCACCGCAGGTCTTCCATGGTCGAACCAGTTCTTCAACACGGCTACACGCTCATACAGGTCTTTGATGTAGCTCGACAGCGGCTTCATGGACGGATATGACACTTTGGCCCACATTGCCGGCACCTGCAGCACTCGAAAATGTCATTGCTGAACTGGAAAAGTAGTCAACTGCATGCACGTTCGTGCACTGTAGAAGCAAACACGGTAGAAGCTTTCATCTTCCCTCCCTGAGCCTTCAGTTGTAACCTTGCATTAGTTGTTGAAGACGACAGAAGCAGACTACCGGACACCGAACTTGATCTAGTCCTATTTCCAAACAATCTACCCCTCTGTTTGTTTGGATGACTGCATCTCCTCCTTCGCTCTCACCTGATTCACAGCTATGCTCCGATATGCAACCTCCAACTCGGCTGACATAAGAATAAGTCCAGCGATTGCCTTCTCCATACTCAAAAGCGATGTTCTGATTCTGAGATGCATGACCATGCAATGTATCAGTTTCTGATGTCACAAATGAATCGCTCTGCTGAAATACTTCATTGTACCAACCAGAGACTGAATGTGGAGCGGCGCAAGACCTGAAATTCTAAGCCTTCAGTCCGGGCGTAGGAAGGGAAACAAAAAGGCCGGTTGATACCAAAATAATGGTGCTTCACTTGTCACAGAATAGAAACAGAAATTTTGAGTGGAGGTAAAGAGAGAACCTGTCGAGAAGTTTATTGAAGCGAGTCATCTCCTGACTCAGGACAGTGTTCATACTTTCCTCGTAAAGAACAGGGTACTTGAGCTCACAAGCTTCAATGTCAAAGTTTGGTGGCAGCGACTTGAGGATGTCTTTGACAACTGCAGCCACTCCTTCTCCTGCTCCACCACCCCCAGCACCTCCACCACCGGTACTGACTGCGTCTGCAGAAGTTAACAGGAGAGAGCTCAAGATAAGAGTTGTGCCATTCATATCTTTCGTGATGTCTGCGTTGGAGTGCAGGCCAAACGCCTCTGGCATCGTGATCAATGGGTAAGATTCTATGACATCCAGATAGCTCTTGAGGTCCCCTTCAGGCGGAGTTGCATATATTCCTGATTCCGAGAGCTTGTAGCCTACTTGCGTCATCTCCTGGCAGTATACATTCTTCAAGATTGTGTTGAGTAAAAGCCTGTCTTTGTCATCTGCAAGAGTTCGAGTAGGGAGGTATCAGGCTTGAAACATAATGCGCTCATTCCTTGACGTATAATAGCACCCTCTATCATGATTAAACAAATTTGAGTGGATTCATCGAAGGCCACATATTGCAACTTCACTCTTAGATCCTGGATGCAAATGAGACCGTCGAAGTAGGGGCCTAAAATGCAATGTTCAGTTCAATGAAGCCCACTTTGTCTGAGAATGGAAACCGGTATCCACTCCCAGGTGATTCGGCCCAGTCTAACAAACTCGGTGCAGCTTACCATCTCTGAAGTAGAACTGCTCGGCAAACCATCTCTTAAGTAGAATCGCATGCAACGTGTGGTCGTCCTTAGTACTTTGTTAAGTTCCATCATAGTCCAGAAAAGCTTCCAGAACATCAAGTGAGGATATAGATACCTGTAACTCGACCCCCATAATTGCACTCTCCTGTCACATATTGAAGGGCATCAAGTGGAAGCACTCCTTCTGCACTCTCGTTCACGAACATGTGAAGTTGTCGAACGCTGCAATGAATTACAGTGACGATGCAAGGCGGCCAATGTAATTATTGCATTGAGCAGTAAACAGAATCGAGTGGAACCCGAAGAATTGCTTCAAAATCACACCGTTGCATTATCACAAGCACTTTTCCTGGGTCATAGATTGGTTAACTGTTAAGATAGTTCAACGACTCATGAATTGCACCTGATTCGAAGGTCTCCATCGTCAAAACCGTAAGGTATGTTCCAGCCCAGAGGGCCAAAGGTTCGCCTCTCCTGAACTACTCCATGGAAGTAGGCCAATCCAAAAAGAAAACTTTTGAAGACGCCTCCTTTCTTACAACTCTCAAAAAAATCCTCGTTGGATAGTGGATCCAATCCATAAGATCTTTTCATATTCGCGCGCAAACCCTTCGGTGGTTCGTTTGTCATTTTCACTCCGTTCTGAAAGCTCCCCAAGAACGATTGTGGATGAGAAGACATCTAGCTGGAAGTTTCTGGTGGAAGCAACTACCAACAACTTCTAACGAACCAACAACTCATGTCAACACAGGATCAATATAAGAGTAAATCCATCGCATAGCATGGATTTCTGATTCATGGTTGGAAAGAAGCGGACCTGAAGCACAGCAATTGGGAACTTCGGACTTGGATAGGATGTCATCCAGAGTCGGAAATCTGCATGTACCGTATCGGGACTGAAGTGCTCACAAATTCTTTCCAGGCTTGGCATCCAAGAAGGGGCAAGATGGCAATTTTGAAGAAGAACCCAGGAACCTGCAAAACTCCACCGTGTCAAAAGTTTTCACTTTTTCAATCGATTTGTCAACACGGTATGCCCAATCACCTTTCTCCAGCAAAAGAGGAGTCCTTCTGGATGTGTTCCGAGAAATCTTCTCTTTCTCGCGCTAAGATCTTAAACCTTCTTCAAGCTTTAAGATCTTAGCGTGAGAAGGATGTTCTTACTGCGGCCAGATGATTGATTTTCTATGTGGTTCATTGTCTTCAGGCGGTGACAATCAAGCCTTGTGAAATAAATGACTGCGCTTGAGTTACAGACAGAAGATTGTATTAGAACCTGCAACCGATGCGTCGTTGATCATGACGGTCGCTTTGGGACCCTGGCCTTGCCCGAGAGATATAGGAGCGACTTTATCAGCCATTTCTTTCTCAGCTGAAATAACGAATCAAGAAACAAAACATATCACGGAGAATCTCAATAAAATGAATACATTACAAAATCTGTCACAAATTGTCAGCAACCAACTGAGGGAGTTAAAGATACTACAAGCCCGGTCAACAAAATGATTTTTAAGGTCACTACCTAAAACACAGACAGAAAGCTTGATAGAAGGAGAAGATGCCTGAACAGAAAAATACTGGAGTAAATATCTTCAAATACATGTTTATTCTAAGGACAGGAAAGGGTGAGATCTTTGGCACAGCACTAACAGCTGCCTTCGATAAATTGGATCGTAATGCATGATTTAAGTTCTGCAATCAAGAGTCAACGACAACACCGACGAAAACGAGTTGAAGTATAAAACGTCCGAAAGTTCGAATGTAAACACTGCACTGATGAAGTCTGTTGGTACTTTTCAGCCTTGTAGAGCAGGTGTCAGGAGTAACAACACACATCATACCTGTCTAAAACAATCTCAATTAAGAGGCAAAGTAGATCTGTTTGCGAATTGGTCATGGTGCCAGCACTGGTAAATAATTCGTGGGACTTAGGACTTCCATGCTACGAGATGAAGATGGTAGAAGCATTGCAAAGTCCTCAAAATCTATACCAAAGCTTCGGTGCAGTTGAAAGAAAACCGTAATGCTCTTCCTTATACACTCAGAGTGAAAACCTTCAGAATTACTTACCAGTCACAAGAATGCAAACTTCCTCTCTGAGGGAGCACTGTGTTAAGCTGTGAGACCAAAATTTCACAGATCGAAAATGCTTCTTGGAAATTAAGAGTTGAGCTCTGAAGATCACGTTCACTGAAGCTTGGGAGGGAAAAGCACCTGCGTAGGAGAGCAATGCCGCAGTAGGATCACTTCCAGCGGAGAGAACAAAAATGAGGGGACATGTAGCACTTGAGTCTTTGTAACACGCATCCAAGTTGAATGATGGAGGTATGACAAATTGAGGGCCCAGTTTCAAGGTCACGAAGTCCTGCATGGCAGGCACCACCTTATCTGGTCTGATGCACCGGTACACGAGCAACTTCTGGAAAGGAGTCAAGCGTTCTGCAAATGGTCCCGGTAATTTGAATTTGTGCGGCTCCAATGCTTCAAATAGTTCCCTCCAGTCTTTCGTGTTGCTCAGAAAATGCTTGACGATGCCGTTGAATACTTCAATCTTACCCAAGCGATTCAACTCTCCCCAGGACTTGTCGAGAAGCCAATCTTTCGCAGGGTTGGGGGGATCGTCTCCGGATGCCATTCCTCCGGTTAACAGGAACATCCATTCTTGAGATGTTATTTCTTTCTTCATTTCAAGTATCCTTGAAGTGAGCAGGCACGAGAACAAAAGCTTATCTTTCTCAAAAAGAGAACGACAAACGTTGCAGTAGAGGGAGTACAGAAAGTGGATCTGAATTATGTCCAGACGTTTCTCGACGTCTGGGCACTTTTCACTACTCAGGATCGAGTTGATGAAGAGGGAAACAAACCAAGGAAGACTATACTGATACATTGGGTCAATATTCGCCAGATCTGATATGCAAAAAAACAAGACTGCCGTATAGTATCCACATGATTGATAGGCTTTTCGAGCTTCATCGATACTTTTTTCTGTCACCTCAGCCAAGCCCTGCAGGTTTCAGAACAGCAAGCATGCCGTGGTCCGTTTAAGGCTCCGTGCCACCATTTGTATGCCGCGTGTAAGAGTTTTGCTCATCAGCAAAGTTCTTGCACGCGATTTTGTTTTTGCGTGTAATATGTGGGTGTGTGAGTACCGATTTTACAGAGGAGGATTCATGCTCGCTTATCATTAATATATCTGGAAAATAAACTGGAAGCTGCTAAGAAGAACAGAGATTAAAAGTCTCGTTATACGCCACATGAAGATAAAGATAGACAGATAATGTTTGTCAAACGGGTCACAAGCAGTTGAACATCTTGTTATCCAAAGAACTGAAGCTCGACAGTACCTGCTTAACGGTAATATCATTTCCAACAACCTTAGCCTCAGATATAATCTTGATTGCAGTCTCATCCTCAAGAATGTTGCCCTCACTGCTTGAAAGGACTTCGAGAATTTGATCTTCCAGTTCCTTAAGCCTCCTCTTATTTTCTGCTCCCTGGTCATCAATAAGATGACAAGTGAGGACGCACGACACTCAGACTGCTGCACTTCAAAATGTAGGCTTCAGAGTAACCTCCAGATAATGAGATGCCTGCTTCACTTGGAAATGATGCAGCTAAATGATATCAATTACACTGTTCTTTACGATATACAAATCTGTCGAAACAGATCCAGACGCTCGTTTCAGATCTTTTTTGATTCCATAGAACCAGCGTAGTGCTATTTGAAAGGCTGATGTGCCAAAACAGACTTCCAGAGATCAAGTGAGGTGACATCTCTTGAGAAAAATCAACATTAAATAGAAAACGCCAAAAAAAGGGTAACAAGTCGCACACTGTCGCTGTCTATAATACACAATCAGCATGACTGTGTCTCATCTTTGATTGCTATGAGCTGTAATTCCCAAGAAATGCATCAGAAGCATTACCACGCGTGATAGAAGCGCAAACCAGGATTTCATTTGGCTTTTACACCGTTTTTTTCTTTGAAAAATCCTGGGGCTTTTCTTTTCTATCTAAATCATGTAGACCTATCTAATCTAGAAGTTAATGTGTAAATGTAAAGACACACTTCATGAATTCGAATGGATTTCAGACCAATAGGTGGTATCAAAGAGGGGGTCGACACATGATAAAAAATAGTTTTATGAAGCAGCACATATCCCAAGAAGAAAATACAATGTAAATGGATGAGTTGTACATTTTGTAGCCCTCGACACAAAATTTATCTACGTACTGATACCAAGCATTTCTATAGTTATCTTCTCCCTTGTCTGCGGCAGGGATATATCAGTAGTGAGATGTTTACTCTTGAAAAATAAGCTCTCTACACCACTTTGCATCCCTCCCTCTTCGAAGAGTTATCCCCTATCTCCTGTTCGCTTACCAGACGGAGCCGTGAACTTCTATTATAACAGCCAAAAAGGTCCAGATAATGTCTAGCCTAAGACCCCAAAGAATTGGCGAGCCAATTGAATATACTCTAGTTGCTTTCTAGTGCCATTAGAACACTTGAATAGAAAATTCAAAGATTTTAGTAATGGTTTGAACTTGCTTGACTCTTTTCACCCAATGTCCCAGAGTGACATTCTCCTGACTTCCCTGGCTGTTGTCATGTGTCCGATGTCACTTCCCATTACTTCTTACTACAAACGGCTCGGTCGAGAAGCTTGGATTGTTGTCAAAGCAAGAAACAGTGTTTTTGTCCGCACTTTCACCATTGCAGGTAGAACAATACCTGTGCGATATTTCTGTCGAGAGCATTTCTATACTATCGTGTAGATATTATTATTACCAATAGCAATTGTCACGGAACACTCCTCTATATAACTCACTAGCAAGGGCTAGATAATACATCCTTCCACAAGTTTAAGCCGAAAATGCAAGAATCAATCTCTACAAACTTTTGTCGTCACCTTATGTTTGAACGTGGTCTATCTTACCATCCAAGGCACCCGGTCGTTGCCCGGCGATACTGATAACCGCGTACTCATCTCCTTAGAAGTAACTCACCTGAGTTTGCTTCTTCTCCTCCACCGATTAGCGACCCTGGAGGTCTACTTTCCTTTCACAATAGTTTGATCAGTTTTTCCATTTTTCTATGAGTTTTGAAATGACAATGCCGCATTTCACCTGCAGCATTTGCCTTTCCAAAACCCATAGAACCTGGATAATGAAGGAAATTCTCCGTGGCAATGCCACGGGTTATCCAAAGAGACAAAACCGAAACCCGAAACGAACCCGTTAGCTCTGTGTGAAGTCAAAAAATACTCCTCGACCTGTTTGCTGAGTAACCCTATTTCTAAACCATATTAAGAAAAGTCCAACCCGAAACCGAACCGGACCTTTCTAGCTTGCTCCAAACCCGATCCATACCCATCGGTTCGGGCGGGTTCGGTTCGGGTTTCGGGTATGGGTACCCGATGCAGTACTCTGCGTGGCATGAGTATAAGGAGTACAACTCCTATTATATTCATCTCTTTACCTCTCAAATGCCCACTCTCTGTGGATGTTCCAAAGCCAATATCGATTATTACTACGCATCCCGTGTCCATAGAGTCGCTCCACACAGACAGCTCAATAGGCCCATCATGTATGTACTGTACCACCCTACACTGCTCAGCTCACTCATCATAGCTTGGCTGATCGCTCTGAGCGCTAATACCTTCTAGATGGTCAGATCATAGATCTCGAAGTCAGGAGTCTGAGGTTCTCTCAGACAGGAACTCACGAAGAGCAGAAACCTCAACGCTAAAGCAACTATTCATAATAATATTGCACAACGCATACGCGACCTCCAAGATGGTAGATGTAATATACTCAATGCTGATATTCTGAACTCTGTCTCAGCAGTTGATTAGGACGTCTTCCAAATGTCTCACGAGAAGAGGGCGGATGCTCCTGTAGACTCTCCTGGAGTAGCGATAAGTTGCTATCATTCCCCTTCACCCAAGGTGGGCTATGAGAAGCAACACTGAGGTACGAACTCTCTATATAACACTCCCCACACTTAACTAGGACAACTCCAAGATATCACACCCCACACTAAATTGAGACAACTCTATATTCATCTAGACTAGTAACTCCACCCCCACTTCTCATTATAAGGTGTGATTAGTACCGGAGGTGATTATCAATGGTAAGGGTTGTACTCTGACCTATGTTCCTTTCTGCTAGACAAGCCATATATACAGAGTTCAAGGCTCAAACTTGAACGTCAGATTCTATCTCGAAATTCTAACCTTAAGGTGACTGATGGCTGCTAAACCGTACATAAAGGCCAAACCAAATTAGTAGTTACCTATGAGGAAGTTAGAAACTAATTCTTACATTGATAACTACTACTATTTTTGCTAGTAAAGACAGAAAGAAACTGAATCTGAGATTTACTATTACGTCACTCACATATATAGAGCAGATGCTGAGTCGAGTTTGAAGGGTACTCTAGATCTGGCCCAAAACTGCTCCTGTGTGCGTAAATTAGACTTGAATGACACGAAGAGGCTCCTCTAATGAATTGGTGTCTAGAATCACCGGCGAATGCCTTTGGTTTGAGAACAATGCTCGTTCAGGAAGGGCATTAAATTCGACTCTTCTAGTCTACAAACGGCAACTGGAACTTCCAAGATGTTCATCAAAGTGGTTTGCATCTGGATCAAACACTATGAGTATGTGTACTCTACAGATTGGTGTGGTAAGACATTCTGACTGGCCTTATGTCTATATGTCAGTGTGTGTAAACCTCAGGATAAGCTTGTGTGTCATCTGAGTGTTGGTTCCAACGGGGAAAGAGTGACTCAATCAGTATGTTCACGAGTACCATCCAAGACCAAGGAGTTTCATTTTAACCTGTAACGCAAAACTCAGAAAACTAGCGTTAGTTACAACGAGGTATCCTTTTCAACATGGAGAAGCTACACCGTCCTAGTCGTTTCTACTTAGAAGTCAAGGACAGACCAGGAGTAAAAAAAATTAGTTACTTTCTGGACTGAACATCTAATAGAACAAGCTTGTGCGCTGAAAACTAGGGCGAAAATCTGATCCATCGAAGAAAAGGGTTTGCAAAATCCCTTGAACGCATAGGGTGAGCAGTTGGCAACAAAAAAAGAAGACGAAGAGCGAAATCTGGAATTGCAGGAAGGCATGCAATAAGGGAAAAAAGGAGATCCCAAGATTGAAGAGAAGCAGTCCAAAACAACGAATAGAGGTTAAGTGAATCGGATAGTATCATGCCCGGTCGAAGCCATTACAGTAAAGTGAAATGTTCAGTGACAACTCGAGCCGACCCAAGCATGCCTTCATCGGCGGCGGACCTTCATGCTTGCCAGGAGTACTGCACTTAAAATTTGCAGACTCTGTAAATCACGATACAAAAAAGATGAGAAAGATCAATACATATGAAGCAAGCATAGATGGATGTTAAGAAATTCCAACCTGAAGCACAAGCTCACTTTTCTGCTGTTCTAGATCTGGCCTCTCTTTCGCAACAACCACTCCCAGTAGCTGATCAGACAATCCGTCTTTTGTTATCATAAAGTTGAGAAGAGACACTTTGACTTGAGTTTCTGGAAGATAGTGTGGGTTGCGGAGCTTTGTTGTTATATAAAACCGAAAATCCTGGTGATATTCAATAGTGGCGTCTCCCAACCGAATGCACATCACTCCCGCAGATTTAAATATCTGTGATCACGAACCATACAGACTGTCATCAACACTTATCCAGCTAATACCTACTCATCATGAGATCCACCATTTATGCTTCGATGAAGAAAGGCTTGAGTGCACAAGAAAACTTACTTGCTTTAATAGAAGTGGTTCCAGAGCCGGATCTAGCTCCTCACCAATATTTTCCAACAGAACTGGCAAACCAAATTGAATTGCATTCTCGAGTGTCCGAATGTAATTAGAGTCCCCGAGTTTGATTATTTGCAAGTTTCTCTCACGCTCCATGTTTCTTATCCACTTATTGGCTTGCCCCTTTAGACGGTACACGACAAGGTTTTAGTTGCATCACATCCTAGCCACCAGAGAAAAGCCAAATAACCATGGAATTCAAACCCACATCTTCAGTTATCCTGATCACCCTGCATGTAGTTTACACCATCTGCCCATCATAAGCAGGCCGACGTTCAGAATCTGACGTGTGATCTGTCTGAAAGCTTACTTGGGGGTCAATCATCAGGGGCCACCGCCGTGAGTTGGCAACTATGATGCCGTTGTCAACAGAAACTGAATCATTAGGGAGGCCAGCTATGACCCACTGGCGAATGTGCACGGGGTTCCCTAGTGATCCTCTGAAGGTGAAGGTGGGAGAATGAGGTATCTTTTCTTTCTTGATAAGCTTCATCCAGGAATCAACAATTTCATCACGGTATCTGAGCACATCACAAGTCTCCCTCCGTCAATCACAGTACAAATCGAGCAGAAATTGCGAACTTAACGAACTCATATCGAACATGTCATAAACTGTAACTCTGACTTAGATTTATATCGACTGACTTCCACCTACTGTACGTTTACTCTACAGTGAAGTAGACACGGGAATATGACTGCCATCTGAACACTTGCAGCAATGTCACAGAGAGTGTTGAACCGGGAAAAGACAATCAACAATCACACTCATGATGGTGGATTGAGACGAAGGATCAGTAAGAGATTCCAATGATATTTGCAATCTTTGTGGGCCAAGGGAGGGTGGTTAGAAAATGGACATTACGAAGCTGTAAATGCACCCAAGTACGCAATGATGCCAGCAGCAACAAGAGCATCGCCTGTCAAATCAGGGTATATTTCCGTCAAATGTTTCGCTGCAGCTATCCAACGGGTTCGTTCTCCTCCGAGGCCTCCAATAAGTTGTTCCGCTCTCTCAATTTTAACAGTACACATTTTCACTTCATGCTGCAATACATTGTCCGAATTGTTGTTTGTAGACGCAAATCATTTCAAAAAGGTGGGAGAACGCACTTTCTATGGTTTATGTCGATTAGAGAGACCGATGAATTTGGCTGAATTTGATAAACACAATTACAAGAGAGGAAAGGAATAGCAGACTGAAGGAATCTAGTCAGTTCAACAGAAAATAATAAGGCAGAAAATTACCACAGCCTCGTCCTTCCTCACATACCCAGGGTCTGTCGAAAGTTCAAAACTGACGAGAAAAGTCACTAGTATCTACCTTGATTTCAACAAAACTCTTAATATTCAGCTTAACACATCCTATCTCTACATCCTATGGCTTGATCATCATACGTTACGGGTGGGAGTTCAAACGAACCTGTAGACCTTCCTTCTTCAACATGTTCGTTTCCAGCTCTTTCTCCAGTTTCGCGAGCTCATCAAGAATACCTTTCAATTCTGCTTGTTTCCCCCGTAAGCCTTTCATGACTTCTTCATAAGCTGCCTCTGCTGCTGCTAACTTCTGCTTCTTAGGTGCTACAACCCTCGCAACGGTATCATACTTATCCATTGCAATAATCCACTTGCAAAGTCCTTCAGCAGCAGTAGAAGCATTCGCAGCCTTTGCTGGAGTGAATTCTGGGTTACTCGTGTAAACGGACCGAATCTTTGCAATAACTTTTGGCTCAATATTGTCCTTGTCGTAATCCTTTAGCGATAAAAGAAAATCTTTGTTGTTTAGGAGCAAGACAGAAGGTTTCCAATAATCCATGATCGAGCCACCTTTCCCATCAGGCATTTTGACCGGTTTCACTTCAAGTATGACACAAACAGCCTCCATAACCAGCTTAATTGCTGCTGGTGGGTTAGTAAGCTTCTTTACGTAATTTATGTCATTTGCAGACAGGGTGTCGAGAGCTCCTAATGCTTCATTAAGAACGGGTAACGCAACAGACAAGGCGGCTTCACATTCATCCTTTATGACTTTGGCATCATTAGCTTGCCTTGAAGCCTCAGCCTCATCCCGTAGCACAATCTGCTTCTTTGGTTCTACTTTTTCCTGCTTTTCTTTCTCCACAACAGCCATAAGTTTCTCTACCTCTGCAACCTGCACAGATATGTGCACAGTTTACAGCTTACTTTGGAGGATCCTAGCCGATTTAGTTCAAACTTTCTTGATGGTTGGACAGTGAATTTCAAGATGTAGATTCATGAGAGCCTGTTGACCAAACTTCAGATCTAGAGGTGAACTCTGGATCCAGATTGCACATGTGGGTTGCTCTTATGTACGTAAGGACACGGAAAATGGATACCGTAAATGCACGAAACAATTTGCATGCGTACAGCGAAAAATCAAATCTAGGTTTATATATGTATACACAAATACCTGAATGAATCTTGGACACCATTCCATGCTCTGAAGGTAGACAACTTACCGTGACTACGAGCTTAGGCATCAAAGCAGTGAGCTCCGTCTGCATGACGGCAACTTGTTGTGCACTAGATGCAAGCTTATCTAGACCCACTTCGTATCTTGATCTTTGCTTCAGATTTTCTTGACGAGTTTTGGCTAATAAGCTCTGCATAACCAAACAACGCATGCCATAGTTAAGTTTAGTTGATGCTTCCTAGGTGTGGAAGTTTGCTGAAACTAGACTCTTGCCTGAACTTCAGTCACTAAGTGAAGGAACTAGCATAAGGAAAAAGAGAACTCATTTTGAACCTGAAAGGTATTAATGAGCTCTAGATACGAGGTTGGAGTGAGGTAATTCTGTCGTCCCAACTTCTCCTTGAACTGAAGAGAGTAAACACGCACAGTTTCATGGAAAGCCTGCCAAAAACCTCAAACGTCAAGGCTTAATGGCAAAGGATTCGTATTATAGAAGCAAGTTCGACTACTCAGCTATCGATTTTATCTAATTTTCATCTTCATTACAGATCTGTTTCGTTCAAGCCAAAAGCAGATACTCCAAGTTTGCAACATATGATGAGCGCGCAGGGTGTACCTTGCAAATTTGGACAATGGAGTCACGGATCCAGTCCTCCAGATCCATTGCTTTCAAAAATTTAACGGCCACAGCCTCCAATGCGTCGCTGGGCCATTCCTGAATGATTTAGAGAAAATCAATATTAGTAAGACTTGAACCCGAAGGAGCCGCATCTCTAATTCAACCTTTGCTTCACTCTATTGTCATAAGCATCATCTTGTTTGCTACTTGTTTTGTGAAAAATGACCATATCAGTACCTCAAAGAGTATATAACTACTTGAACTCAGAGAAGATGCTTCAGTCAGAATCAAATTCACCTGGAACCAATCTATGGTGCAGCAATTCACAAGGGACGGAAACTGTCGAAGTCGATCTTTGAAAGCTTGACCCACAGGGCTCATGCAAAGCATGACGTGCAAATTTTGCTTGCATTTGTCAACAAAATATTTCCATATTTCCATCATAGTCTCTAGTAACTTTCCTTCCTTAGCCGCTTTATCCCTTGCTATTTCGACAATTTGAGCCTTTTCATCGGCAGGAAACATATTTGGGACCTACAACATAGAACACCAGTACTGATGATCAGTTGTCCAAACACAACGCTAATATCATGGTTATAATGACAAACAAATACCTTCGACCAATGAGAAAGAAAATCAATGGACGGATACACAGAGGTAATGGAAAAAGAAGAAGGTCCCCGGGATCGATTTTGTCGATCTCGAACTGCTATGACTGAAGGACCAAAAAATAACGGGGTTTTGATGGTTCAGTTACTTTCAATTTTGATGAAGTAGCTGTTATTGGACCAATCCAATTCATTTGAAATGTGTAACCGAGTTTTAAACCTGTCATCCTCAAAACGTGCCAAAAGATACACTATTGCATTGCCATAACAATATCGTGCCAACAGTGCTCACCACGACATATCCCGAATCAACAAATAGCCTGTGCCTGATAATTAATCATTCAATTTATGAATGTACTGGATTGTGAGGTGAGTAACGAAGCAAGAGCACTCCACCTCTCCAGAATTGAGAAGATTATTGATGTCTTCCACAAATCCTTCATCTGTAATTTGAGTGTCACTGAATAAGAACACTGCAGGGCGACCAGGCTCCGCACCAGCCTTTTTAAGCATGCCCATCAGATCTTCTCTCCATTCAACTTTTGTGTATCCCTTACTAATCTCAACCTGAAAAAGGATCACAACGCTCACGCTCACAAGAACTGCATTGCTTCTCTAAGCTTGAGAGGAACTGGGTATAAGAAGGTTAGAATTAGTACAGAGCCAGACTACTCTAAGTGAAACAAATCTGATGTTGGGCGTGAAATGAAAGTGATTACTGAGACGCGTATTATTCTCTTTTCTATAAACTCAGATGAGATATGTCGTTTGATTTCACCTGGAAAACCTCCATCTGATAGATTGAGGCTGACAGTCTTGTAAGACTCTGCCTCCCACTTCCACCCACTCCGACCAGTAGCATGTGCCCACCTGGCTGTTTCAGTAATCTACAAATTCTTGAGACGTGCTCTACTGCAAAGAGGAAAATAGCCAGATTCATGGGTCTTTTACTAACTCCGTTGAAATCTTTAAGGTAGTTTTCTACCACGGCCATCAGATTCGGAATATCCTTAATCTCATCGTACACTCGATTGTCTGGATCCTCAATGATGAAGTCACCAAAGAAGCAGCTGATAAACGTTACGACAATTTTCAGACGTTAAAATCTACTCGTTATAACACGGCTAGTCACTCCAGCTACCAGAAAATGGACTACATTTAGTATACGATTACAGCACTGGTAACAAGGTTTCTGAAAGATGAAACATGAGTAAACGAGAACCAAACAAAATATTCTCGGAAGTGTTGAATGAAGGCCATAGAATACATTTTCCTAATTTCTACAGAAAACGATCACCTTCTGAGCTCAAACTGAGTGACCGTTTGAACCTTTGGCGGACTTAACAGATGTTGGAAGAGTTTGTCAAAGTCTTCGTTGAAGTACTTCAAGACCAGCTCTTTTGTAAAGGTCAGCAACCAATCACGATCATGGTTATCGACCAACCGATCATAGAACACTCTCAGAACCTCATGCACCCAGAGTCTTATATACTGTTTAGCTCCATCTTTACCAGCAGGAACGGTTTGAGGATCTTGAAGCATAAGTCCCTGAGTTCAAAACTGTACTTTTAAATTTCCTGTCTCACATCCTGACAATGATAGAGCCCTCACCCTATCTGAGGGGTGCTGTTGGTAACATACTAGAATTAAGATGAATTATGATCACATGAAGTGGGCGGCGGAAGAGGGAGGACTCCCTTAGACTGAAGAGGGTCGCTCTTACAGAACTTTTTGTAAAAAAGAAACCTGCTTGTCACGAAAGATCGACCAAAATGACAACCTAGAGAACGAGGTACATAAATCTTAGAAGAGATACTGTCACGAATTTGCACCTGTATCACTCTGGCATAATCTCGAAGGTTGAAAGTGTAATGAGACTTTGTAGGTGTCGGGAGTAGCTTAGTTCTAGCATTGTCATATATCTCCATGGTCGCATCGATCACATGGCCGGCCAAGTCAACTACATCCCTAGGATACTCGAACTTCGTACACAAGTGCCAGTTCAAGATGGTCGAGAAAATAAGTACCAACGACTCTCCTGACACCTAGAGCATAACATGGAATCAAGGTTAAGAACCGACAGTAACTGTGTTTGTCCCACTCAGCTTATCAATCGAGTAAAGGCCGTCTTACGCTTACCAAGCTAAAAAGAAAAGTAGATGAAACTGAATTTACTTTGATTGACCAATATCAGCATACCTGGGACACACCGACTTGGTTGAAGTGCCTCAGGTACCTTTGAGTTACCAGGTTCCTTCCACCTCCGGGGGGACCCATAGCAGAAACAAACAAAACATCGATGATGTTTCGAAAAACGCAATCTCTACCGTACCAACCGCCGAAATCCATGTACTGCCGTAGTAGCTCAATGGGAGGTTGAGCTCCATATACCTCTGGCTGCACCCTATTCATTGTTAGGTACACCTTGAATCCACTGTAAGCAGCGCATATAGCTTCTTCCCTCTTCGATCTCAAACTAGTACTTTCTACACAAGAACAGATTTGAGTTCACGATGTCAGATTCGAAAAGAAAAAGAACTAGACAGAAGAGAATATACACACATACCTGAGGCATGTTGAGATCATCCACAAATATGATACACGTTTTACCCGCAGGAGGTCCATAGGTTCCTCTCTTTCTACGATCCAATTGCCCATCTATTTGATTTTGGACCATATTGGCAGATGTACGAGCGGAGAAGCAAACGAGAATGGTATTGAATTTCTCCTTCGATAGACCTTTGAGAAGATGTCGATTCACGTACACTGATTTACCAGTTCCTGTTCCTCCCACCAACAAAAATGGAGATCCATACGCAATTGCTTTGTCGAGCAGAAAAGTGTACCTCATTTGATCTTTCGTAGGTATGATCATCTGATCATAAGTAGCCGTTTCAGGTATTTCAGGAGGTACAATTGTGTCAGTCCATAACTTCCACTTAGCGGTTATTTTATCGAACATGAAATCATGAACGGTATGAGCAGATGGCATCATGGGTGCATTCAAAGCTTCGTGAGGAAGCGGTATCACCAGTTCATAACCCTCAGGAGAGATACCTGTGGCAAGTTTTCTCAGAAGTTCATCAAAAGCTGTTCGCGCATCGGTTTCACCGGTGGACCCGATTGACCACACCAGAGAAAAGATGAAAAGAGAATCCACCCATATGGCCAGCTTGTCCACGCCTAGTGCCTTTACTCCATCCTCTGTCTTAACTTCATCTATCAAGCTGTAGAAAGTTCTCATCAAGCTAACCACAAGGGCCGTATCTCCAGTCGGAGAAATTTCTTTCACAGATTTTCGAACAAATCGAAGACAAGCATTGACCATCCACTCAAACAGTCCACGTAGATGAGTTTTGATGTTTGCTGGAAAGCATGCAGGCAGAGTGCTTATCCACGAGACCATGAGAGGGTGCCAGCCCAACTGATGAGGCTCCAAATACACCATTCCACACCTACTCACAGTGGCTGGAGAAGCAACAGCAAGATCACCAACCTGTTCAATCAAAGAATAATGATAATTGACGGATCAATCCACAGGCCTGCTTCATACTTCACAATGAAATCTAGGGCATCCTCATTCCATCCACCCAAAGGAGATTTGGACTCTTAGAAGCTTTACTCTACAAGTCTAAGAAATACACAGGAAATGGATTCTTACCTCAAAAATCATATTCATCGACGAAGACATCTGAATGATTTCACTGTTAGGGAGGCACAGCTTCTTATTATCGTCCAACACTGTGTTCATGTTCTCTATCCATATAGCATCGACCGGACCATCTAAAACTAGCCATTTTCGGTCTTTGTTCGGATTTGAAGCCTGCTCACGAAATCTCACAGCTAAGACTCCATCAGCCCACTCTTGGGTCACATTGTCAGCTTGCCCATAAAGCTGGCCCATAGTAACTGACTTTGGATTTACTGTTGCAATCTGCACGAGAAAAATCTCGAATTACTATACCAAGTTTCAGACACAAGTTTCCACCAACCTGCTTGCTGAATCTTTAATTTACAGTCTCGACTGAGAACAAACGCTGCCAGCTGACACATCATACTTACGGTAAGTATCTATACGCGAGCGAGTATAACATATCGGCAAAATCGAAACCAAAAACCAGAACGTGATGTCAAATTTAAAGGATACAGCCAAAAGAATTAAGAGCAGTACCAAACCTGGACAGCCCTTTCATTGTTGTTTCCCCAAGTAGACATATCAGTAAGAGCTCGCTGAAGAACTCTTAGGCAACACGTTTTTCCAGAATAAGAAAGGCCAACAAGCATCAGCCCGTGTCTCACAATAATCATCTCATAGAGCTGAATTATTTTCGTCATGAAATACAGAGTCGGCTGCAGATTCATTGATGCACAGTTCTCTTTGATAGCTTTGTCTATGAGGGTGTAGTCCGGTGCAGGTAAAACTACTCCAGGAAATAAATCAGACACAATACCATTGAAAAGAGGTACATCTTGAGACAAAAATTTGCAAAGATTGACATCAATAATGGATCGGAGCATTAACACAAGCTCATCTTCATCGGGGTATCTCTGTTTCAAATTTGTGGCAGCTCGAAGGACAGCCATAACAGCTCTCATCCCGTAATCATAATGCTCTTGACTAGACAGTTGTTCGCTGCACAGTCTATACGTTGCGACAATTTTTCTTGCACAATCCCTGGCCTGTAACAATGTATCAGTGCCTGAAATCTCCAGGGTCAACATAGATTGTCAACAATCTAAGTTGAAATCATCTCAAAAATAATCTTCGGTTGTTAGTGATTTCTGGAGTTCAAAACGTAGCAGGAGCTTATCAAAATGAAAGTTTCATTTCTCATTATCAAAATCAGCATTGTCTAATTATCAGCATTGTCTTCAACATAGTCGACGACCTCACATACACCTATACCTCACATACAGTTTCACGTAGCATAGAGCTATAACGGTACTGACGGAGTGAACAATGCGAAATAGAGAGTGTAGAGGGCTCGTACCAACAGATAGCCACCACTATATAGCATGATTTCACTGATCATAGCATAGTCGGGAACCATCATGGCCACAGTGCGAAACAAAGCTTTGAGGTTGTCCGGAAGCTCACTACGCCCGGCATATCCAGGATTCATGGTAATAAAAACATTGCATGAATGTTTTAGTGTAAGTTCGGTTCCCTCGAAGGTAAAAGTTTTCACTCTGTTTTGTACAGCAATCTGGATTTCTAGCACCTGCACACTCGGTACAACACGAGAATTGAAGTGAGTACAAGAGAGGCGAAAATCTCCAAATCAACAGACTAATCACCATAAAAGTCAAATCTGATCATGTCGGTTCGAGATCTTCAACCACGGAAATCAGTTCTGAATCACGCCTTATAAAACAACGAATTCAACATTATAGATTGCCGCTAACTGAAGCCAACGATCCCAGACCCACACCCAGAACCATCAACCTGAGGAAACGCGTCATTTAATGCTGCATTTATTATACCAATCGTAAATTTGCAGAATTCGTGAAGCAAACCATGCTAATCATAAATCTTTGAAGTCATAGTGAGCTTATGATTAAGGTTATTAGACCCGAAATATGCTCAAAGGGTATAAATCTTTCACCTGTTGGGCAATCACAGAAAGTACTTCCAAGTCTATTCGGTTGAACTCGTCAAAGCAAGCCCAGGCACCTGATGCTGCTAGACCCTTGAAAAACTTAGCCATCGCCAAGTAGTCCAAGCTGTCACTACAATTAAATACAACACATTGTCTTGCAAGCGCCTGCAGGAGACGATATTGCACGGTAAAGTAGAGGCATTTTTCTCCAGTATCATGATGTGGATACCATAGCTCATAAGTTGTAGCCAGCAACATTCTCGTCAGGAATAAACTTCAGCGTATATGTAACCACTACATCTAGAATACACATGCGGAGGCCAAACTGAGACCTTCTGTCTGAGAGTTCTGTTAAGTTCTATAGATTTGACTTGATCAGACAGAAAGACCTTGGTTCTCTGAGAGCCAATTTTAATCCAAATCTCTGAGATCCAAATCAAGTAAGTGTCTGGCTTTGATGATAGTTTGAGTGTACCTTGGCAAGATCTTTGGTGGTTTCTGTTTTCCCGGTTCCTGCGGGCCCCTCTGGAGCACCACCCATGCCCAGGTGAATCGCTCCCATCAAAGTACGATAACACCTGTCTGTTAAAGGTGTGATGACGAGTCGGCTGGAATTTCCTAGATACTCATAACCATACTCTATCCCAGCATTCATCATTCTAACCCAGCAAGTATTTTGCTCCCAATACATGCGTAGCTGACTTTGCCACAAGAAGTCGGTTTCGGTTGTCACTTTTGCTGATGCAAGGACAGCAATTGTATCTCGAGCGTGCACATCCATGACCACAAGAGCACTAAGAGTCATGCGGTTCAAACTTGTTAGATTTCCCCGGACGAGGTTTACAATGTCCCCAAGCTGGTTTGTACAAAATGTTTCAAAGTCAGGTAAGGCTTGGCCGCCTTTCAGTATAGCCTCTGTTGCTGCCTGGGTCCAGTAAATTGCGCTCACTACCAGCACCACCTGGCCAGGCCACTCCAGTACCCACTTTGTACGCGCTGTTGTCGCGTAAGCAGTGACTCCTTTGAGACACTGGTCTTGGACTGCCATAAGCATCTGCTCCTCTACCTGAAAGACATTCATACCCAGCTCATACTTAGAAACTTAACAATACTCCGTGGGTATCCGATCTTGTAAAATTCTACTTGCTATTATATCAAGGTGGAGGTAGATGAATTTTTTTTTAAATGAAAGTGTCAATAGTGTTAAACTCTCCACTTACTGATGCCTAGGCTTATAAGATTTATGAGCACAAGTTTTTAGCCACATCCGGTAGGTCTCATGACATTGTGAAGTTCTTGGCTTCGAAGTCCCGTTTCACAGATGCTGAAGCGCTAAGGTAGTACTTTCTGCTGCAGATATAGCTGACATAACAGAAGGGTTTTACAATCTGAAGAGATTCCACGAGCTGGGAAGTACATAAGGCTTTACCTGCAGTAGCCACTTCTCGACCGCGCCTTGCGAAGTTTGAGGGTTGAACTTGTCAACTATTTGGACCGTCTCTCCTTCAGCAGATATAATTGCTGTAACATCAAGGTTGTGTTCAAACTTTAGCGAATCAATACCTTCAAAACATTTCTTCAAGTGTGGCTGAACACGTAGAGGGTCTTTTGTTTCAGACAAAATTTCCAGCATCTCGTCGTTCGAGAGAAAGAAGAATCGAGGAAATGCCACTCGTTTGACCTGAGTAAAAAACAACGGAATATCTTCAGAACAAATGATATCTACACTGACAATTGAGACCAATATATAAGACGCAAGAATTGGTGTAATAACCATAACTACAGATTCATCAAACGACGCATCAGAAGCAAAAAATATTCAATAGTTTAAATCCCTTCAGTTTTTATTGTCGGGAAGTTGGAGGTGATTACTTCGCTATGCAGATTATTAGTCAATCTGAAGATAATCCTAAAGAGCAATGGTATCATTGGATAAAAAAATTGCTGTAAATAATAGAGAATTCTATCTCACGGTAGTAAAACATTTAGAGAATTTTTTGTTATTAAACATAACAACTTCCAGCCAGAGGTTGCACACCTCCAAGTACTGTGCAAGTCCTTTATTGATAACTTCCAAAAGGCGGTTTGCTTCAATCAACTTTGCAAGCCTCTCTGTATCCTTTGCGGCTACTAGAGCTTCAGGATTAGCATTTGTTTTCTTCATCACGTCTCGCCAAGTTTGGTCCACTGTTTGGAACATTTCTCCCTCTGTTGGCATCTGCCTCATAATATCTCTAGAGCCAAATATAGGCCCCAAGTACTGCCAGGTTGCTTGACACTCGGTCCAATTATCTACTAGGGCCTGCACATGCACATTCCGACTTATTTTGAGGCACAACGTATCCTACTGTAGACAAAAGGATTTAGAGCAGATTAAACTCAATAGTTGTATGTTAACCTATTTCTCCATACTTGAACTACTTCCTGATAATGTGGAGCACCTGTAAATCGAGAACGATTTTCCTCCACGTGGTTGCTTCCTTCTCAAAGTGCTTCACAAATGGAGAAGCACACATTGACAGAATCTTTACAACTTGATCATCAAGAATCGTCTGGATGTCATCTATACCACCAACAATGAAAGTGCCTGAATCTTTGTAAGGAAGCACAACAAACTTCACACCATCCCAATCCTTCAACATCTTATCCAGTGACTTCTCAAATGAATACTCCTTGCTTGCAGCTCCACTGATATTTCGAACCTGTGTTCCCGGCGAAAGTGTCTCAGATAAGAGGTTTACACTAGCTTTCTGATAAACAGGCTAAAAAATTAATTGTTACATATTTTCGAAGTAAAATATTCAATTGAACTCAAGGGTGCGAAATTAAAAAACCTGAACAAGGTTTGCAAATAAAACAGAGGAGGTGCAACAGATACATACTTCTTCAATTTGATCCATGATATTGAAGCCTAATAGATCATTTGTTGAAAAGGGAACTTCTGGATTGTACTCCTTCCCCAAAAGCTCAAATATTACTTTCCAATGTCTGGGCTTCAAAGCAGGATTTGCCACCTCCTCTATGATGGGCACGATCTGTCGAACAGAGCCAAAACTTTTAGAGTTCTAACCTTCATTATATCATGATGACGTTCCTATCCTTGAGTTAGATAAATGAAGGTTTATTATTTGGAGTGAATTCATAAGTTGATGACTCATTACTATCTGAAATAAGAAAATGAAGATTTCTAAAACATCGTACAGCCAAGCTTTAAACCCCACATTTCATCGAAGGAACACAGGTAGCGGGCTTACCTTTCTGAATTCTTCTATAGTGTCCTTGAGTCTGAAGACAACAGTGTCCTCTTTATTCGCCTTACCCATTCTATAGGCATCTTTGCCATACTCTTCAGTCTTCCCTGTTACTTCAGAGGCTTTGAGTTGATCGACAGGAGCCATGCGCCAGTTCGTTGTCATTATTATCCAGTCGTTCAGTGCTCGCCATACGTTCCATCTCAGGCTGAACTCTTTCTCCGTGAGCGTGAGATTGCTCATATCATCCACTGCCATCTGGTATCATAGGAGTACTGAATGATTTAGGGGAGGGAGACAGAGGGGTTTATCGATTTACTTACAAAAATATGAACATGGAAACCTTAGAGAGGGAGTTCATATGCAAAATCTTATGCTTACAGACGGTATCTGTTACTAGAGGGTATGTGCAGCGGAATATATCTCTACAGTCGTGAAGTTGGTAGGTGCTGAACGGAGGGAAGATGAATCACACCTGGAAAAGACTTTGGTAACCTTTGTATGTTTCCGTCGTTTCACGAATCTCAACAAGCCTTTTGTTGATTGCCACCAAGTCAGACACAACCTCTACGGGGTCAGACTCGGGTATCAAATACTTTCTTGAATGCAAGGTCCCAAGAATATTCAACAGTTCTTCACTGCAAGCAGTGACCTTCTTGTCAAGATCATCCATCATTGCCGCTTTGTTTTCTTGAATGTGGGCATATGCTGCTTCGAGGGAATCTTCATATCTCATGACAACATCATGAAGATCATCAAGTTTGACTTGATCTTGAGTTGGAACTTTCACTTGATATGCATGTAGCAACTCATACATGTCATCTACAATAGAGGCATCCAACAGAGCAGCCTTCCTGAATGTTTGTTCCATCATTCTCTCATAGAGCTGCATACAAAACAGCGGAGAATTATGTCATGTAATGTCATGTAATGTCATGGTGGCATTAGTATCCAATTGGAGTAGTATTTATCCATATTTGGCATACACTCCCCATCACCCTCACATATAAAAAATGAGCCACTTTCAAAATTGAGTCAGAATGCTAAATTCACTCCCTTTTCCATACAATCCAACATTGAATTGAGATAAACCCAAAAATGATGCAGTGTTAGTTTCATCCCACTTCTCTGCAATCCAATCAAAGGAGTGATTAACACATAAGCTATTACTAGTAAAGGACAAGGTCAAAGGAAACACGTTAATGTTGATTAGCCATGGAGCTGTATACTCTGACTTTGTACTTTACTGGAAATACCTAGGACCTCATGGCTCAGATTTGAACATTAAATACTAAATCGAAAACCTTTCTTCAAGGTGTACTATGGATGCGTTGCCATACTTAAGTCCTAAAAGAAATAACAAATTCTCTAAGGTAGAGAAAGTAAGTAAAGTAATTAAAATTCTAGAGAATTAGTAATTAGAGTTTACAATCATTCTTGTACTAAAAAGAAGAAGAGAAAAAGGCAAGTCGATCAACAACTACATAGTCTTCCATTGGCGTACGAAGCTGGCAGTTCCTTTTTTCTTCATATATTTCATACATGTTACCCATTGAACGGACGAAGAAAAGGAGATTTGTACAACTATTAAGCAAATGCAACCACAAGTTACACGTTTTACGTACCTTCACGTACTCAACGAAATCATCAAGAGCCGAAGGTCGCACGTCAAGCTGCTTGGCCCTCTCTTGGAAAGCTGCAAGAGCCGTCAATGCATCCTTTCTGGCGTTGGTGACCAAGAGTCCTTTCACCAGCTCAAGTGTTCGAACCGTGATCGAGATGAGAGAATTTCTCAGAGACCTCGAGTCGACATGCAGAATTCCGACGACACTGGATAGAGAAATCATGCAATGGAGAGAAACGTCAACTGCCTTATCCACACCCTCTCTATCCAAAGAATCAGCCAGAGATGACAAAAAAAATAATGAACCCAACTGCCCACCTGAAACTGCTATTAGAAGTAACTAAGTAAACAAAGTTTATCGATGTGGCCTGTCATAGCTTGACGACCATGGATGTTGCGCCCGGGTTGAGAAGTCTTAACATGAATAGATGTTTTACTTGGGAAGTAAGGTTGTAGGAATAGAGAGGACTACTACAGAACTTGGACTCCACCAGCAGAGCGAGGGTTAAAAACTATGTAGGCCACATACTACAAAGGCAGTCGCATTTTCAAAATATGAACAGGACTTTCGTCCTCCTTGCAACCGGCTCTGCAAGCTGCGGAATAGTATCGTCTTGCTCTTATTGTGATGGCATGCTGACGACCATTCGGAACGTCGATTGCAGACGTGTCCCTGGAACAAACTCGGAGAAGCTTGAAGATGGAGGTCCAGCATGTTCATTTAGTTCACAGTACATAACAGGACATACTTTTGTATACTGTTATGTACTGTCACTTTTCATCACCAACTTCAATGTCTCCTGCTCCCTTTTGCTGCGTACCCTTAAATTACTAACAAGAGTGACGGTGATTCCCAGCAACTTCCCTGTTGCTGGGAAGAGGGCCTTGTAGCCGATGCTAAACGAAGCTCATAACAACATACTGCTCTTCAAAGTGCCGAATGACACTCTTGGTCATTTTAGCTTCTAACCGGGGCTAGTAAGCGTTTAAGGTGATGTCTAGTTTCAAAGAGCTTGGCAATAAGAATGAAAAAGAATCTGATTTACTGGTTGAGCTTACTTTGCTGTTCGCATTCTCTCAAGCTCGATACGCCATTCGCGTTGCCTTGCCAGCTCTTCACGATATTGCCGAACAGTATGCTTCTCAGTTGCATATGTTTCATAATTCCAACTTTCTCCAAAAGCATATAAAGCACGATGTTGTTCAAATATCTATCATCATAAACCTGAAGACCTGAGTCTTAGCTGGAAAAAAATATCCGAGTTTTCTCTAACAAACCTTAACATCGTGAGTGGATTGAAATTTCCCCCTCTGGTATATTCCCAGATTCTCCTCCTGTGCATGTCTAGATCTTTCGAAATACCTGCTCCAGTGAACAGTAGCAGTTTGAAGTTCTAATGCATTTGCGTGCAATCTAGTTCAAAACCCCGACTTGCAGTTAACAGAAAGAGAGAAAACGAACCGAAACCAACCAGATCCTTGAAAGATTCACACTTACTTGTGAATATTTCCGAGCTTCTTCAAAGTCCGATTTTACTACATGATCTATTGCTTCCCGTAGTTGAGAAAAGAAAGGAGTCATTTTGACGATGCTGTGTGGGTTGATTTCGTTAAACTTGGTTTCGAGGAATGGTAAGAATACTCGCATGTGCAATATGCGAGGGGCTGACTGAACAACTTGAACCACACCATCCATAGCATTATTTACAACCTGCCATTGGACGAGAATCGTTATTAGTTGCAGATGCCTCATTCTTACACTCTTTTGATAGAATCCAATTTCAGCAATTTTCGAAATTGTGAAAGTGAGATCCACTCTGAAAGACTAACAAATATGTGATGAAAGAGGGTTTCAGGCGGAGGTGGACTACATGTAAAATGTCTGCTTCATCGGGAGTAAAAGTGATGGCAGTTTCTCCAAATGTAACAGTTGTAAGGAACACGCCTTTGGGAGATTTGTCAGTACTCGTTCGGCAGAAATCTAGCACGGACAGAAGTTCCATGGTAGCTGTTATAGCTCGGTGTGCCAGTCCTTCTACAAACATGTAATCAGCAAGCCTGATGAAGTTCCCCAACATCTTTTCTTCCGCAACAACTCGTCGATATGTTTTGGCTCTTTCGATCTTTTCCTGCTTGATGCTCACCATGCTTTGCACTTTGCTTCCTCTAGTTTGATGCAGGTTGACCCCAATTGTGTCATCGAGCTCGGCCTCATCTCTTACACTTTCCTACAAAATGTGATGACATTATTATGACGTCGAAACATGGTAATTGCCTCCAAGCACTACATTCTTATGCTTAAATCTGTTCTTTAAGCTCAATGTGCGGACCCTTCAACTCACACAACGTTTTGCTTCATCGCGACACGGCTTCTCCTCCTCCCTTCACTGGGAAGCACCGTGCAGAGAGAACTCAGTATGACAGGAAAGAGTCAATTTCTTGTGTGATCGGTAAGATGCATACTCGATAAATTTTTGCCTGCTTCTTGGCTTCCAGGCAGATCGTTGCAAGGATTTCCTGCACCTTTTCAGTGATTAATTCCATTGCTGGACTAACATTCGTGAGTCTTTGCTCAGTCTGGAGAGTGGAAAACTCGTCGTAGTTGTACAGACGGTTGGTTGTCAAATTCAGCATCGCCAGCTCACTGAGCTTATCCACATGTGCGGCTATTTGACAAAGAGCGGCCAAGAAGGCTGGTTTAGCAAAAAACAATTTTTGTACAAGTGCATCCCGAACTCGAGCAAAGTGACGCTGCCCAATGTGCTTGCGCCAGATGTTGAAGGATTTTTGCGTATAGTAGTTGCCGAAAAAGGGAATTCTACGAAGGAGCAGAAAAACGTATTTCTCCCGCATCCATTCTTCCATCGGTGTGAAAGTACCGTTTCTGCGATTTCCTGCGCCACCGAACACGAAAGTGCTAATTTTTCTTTCTCTCTTTGATCCAAGCTAAAAGACTTGGAATGCGTAACTACATTACGACACATTTTTTTTCCTATCTCATTTTCTTCATGAAAGGCCGTGCAAAATGTTCTCCCCCCGTATCAGTTCTCGAGTGTAAGCCCGTCTTGCCACAATTCATGAGATGGAAGCATAACCAGATGATCCAAGAGAACCAGTTTCTTTGTGTTAACCAGAACCATTAAACACACACAAGGGTAGAGGGAACGAGGAAGACAAGCATCAATTGGAAGTGTCCTCCGCAGAAGAGAGCTCGAATCACTGGGAGCATAAGCACAAGCTTTTTACATAGAGTTGTGCAAGAAGTACCAGCTCTGGTCTCAATGTGGACTACTCCATCAAAGGAAAAACTGAAGTGCTCGCTTTCTACTTCAGCTCTCGGAACAACAACCATATCATAGGGTTGATACGCTTTTCCTGTCTTTGCCCGATTGCAATAAAAGACCTTCACTCTGTTCCTTCCTTCGTTCTCCATGAAAAACCTCACCGCATCATCTCCTGTTTTGACGTAGTCCAGCACCAAGTCCACTCGGGGATCAGGTCTGTCTTCCTTTTTCCGCTTCATCGCGGCGCCTTCTGCATCAATTTCAAATTCACATGCGTCAAATTCCGTTCGAAACAATTGTTTCCCAAGGGGTGTTGAACGCACGAAGTTTCAGTACAAGGTACGGCGACGACTCTAGAGTCGACCCGCGATCACCTTTGAAAAATCTTCAGACGCCGAAGAGGAGTGGGATCGCCAGAACAATCCTCGCAAGAAGAAGAAGAATGCCACGGAGGTGGAATTGGGGAGCTTCAGAAGCGCAGAACGACCACGGCTTCTCTCCTGGCTGGCTCCGAGAAAAGGGGAGGGCGTGCAGAGCCCAATTTCGAGCAACAAATCCTCGGCCAGGTGCCGGGGAATTGACGGGGCAGTCTTTTCCGACCTGGAGAGGCAATCGTGACCCTGAGGAAAGCGAGGCCGAAGCCTGTCGAACGAGGATTCAAGATCGACGAGGACGAGGAGCAGTTGGCCATGAGCGCAGGCTTCCCCGCGCTCTGGTCGTTCCGAATTCACGGGCCGCGCTCGGAAACGCTCGCTGTTCTCCCTGTCCCGAGATGCATCTTCGGCTCCAGAGAGCGCAGGTCCTAGCAGACGTTGGGGTCGGAATTGGAGGGGATAGTGGGATGGCGTGCCGTGCGTGTCAACTTCCTTTCTTCCCCACTTCGTGAGCCCGAGGAGGAGCAGAGCGCGTGCGGGCAGGCAAGGCTCGTGCGCAGTTGAAGGCAGGGGATCGCCAATGCGGTGGGAGAGTTAAGCGGTGACCGTGAGACGGGCCCACTGCGTTCAGCTCTCGGAACGATCCGGTTGGGACAGTACTTGAACTGGAAATCTCCACATTGATTTTAGGAGATGTTTTGTCTATTTGGAGAGAAATTTAACAAAATACCTTCCTTCTTCATGTCGATGATACATTATTCATTATCAAAGAACTGAAGAAATTATCATTGTTAATTACTTAGTCATAATTACGTGGTATGGATATCTTAAAGCAGTAAAGATGTTAATCTTCCGAATAAAAATGATGAAATATGCGAAAATTCGAAGTTTTAAATTTTCCGTATTTTTACTGATGAAAGTTTTCAATATAAATCTATCATAAAATTGAGGTCGTCTACTATTTTCTTACATGATCAATACTCTAATGTTGAGAGCTTAAGACCCGAGCCAAAAGTTCGTTTCAGATTAAAGTATGAAGTTTTCGAGAAATTAAAAACTTAACAATTGGTGTCTCGAATCAATTTTCACCAAGGAGCGCGTAAAGTACTAAATGTAAGTACTGAATTTTATTATCAAGATATGTGGTAATTTTGTGGAAATAACCTTTACTTCTATAAAATTTATAGTACAAAAAGCTATGTAGCTATTAAAGAAATAGATTGAATAGAATCAATCTATTCATAATTTATTGGAATACATAATGGAACATAGCAAAATTATTAATTATCAAATTGGAAAGTAGTGATAATAGTCATGAATTTAATTGAACATTTTCTCTTCCTTACATGAATCATTACGTAGTGAATACTAATTGTTATGTAAATATAAAACTGACATAAATAAAGCTCTCATTTGTATTGTTCTCTTCGATACTTGAGACTAGTTTTTGATTACACTTGAAATTTAATTACTTTATATTATAAATTAGAGATATAATTTTTGAGAAAAATATCATAAATAATTAATGTTGCTAAAAAAATTAAATTATTTCTTTTGGTAATAAAAATAGCATGTTCTAGGTATAAAAAAATAATAAAATCAGCACCCTTTCAAAACTCGTAAAAAATTTAATCAGTCATTACTGTTTTTTCTTATCTCTACACTATTCCAAATACATCATTAAGACAAGTTATATGAAGAAATCCAATGTACAATTGTTAAGTCCCCCACTATACTATAACGTGGGTTCACTCGTCTAGACAATATATGAACCCTCGTTTTCAAAGAGTTTAGAAGCGGAAGTGCATAGTGCTATGAATAAGTCATACAAGTTGGATTGATAAAATACAGAGATGGCAAGTTACTTCGACAAATTTTCAGGCAGCACCAATCATGGAACATATCTACTCTTCTATCGTCAGTAACCTTCACCATCTGTCGGCAAATCCTCGTGCATCCAGGTGTTGAAGCCACCGGTGAAATGGTAGACATTCGAGAATCCCGCCTCCTGAAGCTCATAAACAGCCCTCAAGGACCTGCCACGAAGATGCAAAATCAAAGACCGATAAAGACTTCGTCTCTCGAGGCCACATTTTCTGACAAACTTCGAAACCTGGAGAGCACGAGGACACGATCAAAGGGAGCAATAAGAATGCGAGAATCAGATATAGGCTAGCAGAAGACCAACCGCGATGCTCGCCCAAAACGACGTTCAGGATCGGCGTACGATTTCGGTTTCAGTCCCGGCCTCTCAACAATGGTTTTCAGTGTTCCTCCGACGTCGCACATAACCACCACAGGTTTCTCCAATTCTCCATTTACGGCATTCATAGCTTGGGAGAGGAAGTCGGGATTTCGTTCTGCATTCGTACGGTAGTTGATTGTTTAGCAGAATTAAAAAATTCAACCCGTTCCTTTTTGAAGAACACTGACACCGAGACGAATTTCAGGCAAAGATCACATATCCCTCTACTTTGTAATTCGTCAATTAAAAGCATCTTCCGAGACCATAAGCACTCTCGAAATCTCTGTATTGGTATACCTGTTCCAGCAAAGTCCGTAATCAAAGCATGTCCAAGCCTCCTGCATTCCCAGATACGATTTTGGTTTTAGTGCTGGACAAATAAAATGTAATAAATGGATGAAAGAAAATCACCTAATCGCTTACAGGCGAGATGAATAAATTCAAATTCATATCAGAAACTTGAAACAAGAGGCATTTGGCCCTTTAAAGCGCAAACGTGCCATCGACTATCGCTAACACACCTGATGTTGGCTTTGAAGCTGTTTCCCTGTATCAGTCGGAAAAGTGGAGCATTTATGGCAACTTGTGCACGAATCTGCATGGACAACCTTCATGGTTGGTTCACTAACGTCACTTCAAGAAGATTCAAACAAAAACCCCTGCAAAAGATAGTCAAGACGAAACAATTCATCCCTCTATGCTCAGCTAAGGCGAGAATTGGATGAGACAAAATGGACTGATGCGATCGGCGAGTCAAATTAAATACTGCTCAGTTCGGTAGAAAAGATTGTGCAGTATCGTGACGCAAAACTGGAGAGCGAATTTCACGAAAACTTCATCTCTGATTCTCTGAATTGCCAAGGAAAGTGACTCCAGTCGCTAAACTAGGAGTGCGCTTTGAGAATTTCGTTGGCTAATAATTTCAGACGCATAGGTTGTAACCTTTTCAAAATCTTGAGCTTCGCGAACGTCGATCAACACTGCCTCTCCGGCCTGCAACATCTCGTACGCTTTTTGCCACTCCAAGCTTTTCATCTTCCTTTCCGTGAGCACCCTGTGAATTTCTACACAAGGGAGCATTCGCAAATTCACCGCGTCAGCAGGGCCCGAGGGCAAATCCAACCCGGCGAAGCTTCCCCGGTGGTAACAGCCACGCATCGAAAGAATTCAGAATCCAAATTTGAACACAATTCCGCATTCCCTCGCTCGACAAACTCCATAGCTCGACTCCGCAACGACGCAAGACGTAAGAAATACAGAATCGACGACAAACCTGGCCACGAGGTGTACGTCTCATCGAACCAAGTGCTGACTTGCCCGCGCTTCGGAGCAGCAGCAGCTGCGGCACTGGCGCCGGAATCGTTCTCCACCTTCACATTCTCATCGACGGCCCGGACAACGAACGAGCACCGGCCTGCTTTGGCACCCAGCCAGACGGGCTGCACTCGGGCGCTCGGCGCTATGAACCTGCCGGGCTTGATCGAGGCCGCCATGGCCATCGCAACAACTGTCAGCTCGAAGCGCAGAGCTTCGCTTCTCTCTCTGCAGCAGCAGCAGCAGCAGCGGCTGACCGTCACGCTCGGCAACTCGATCCGCATCCATTTCCTCTGCCGCCTCATTACTGTGAGGATAGTATTGCATTTTGACCGACAGAAGTTAAAATCGTTCTGTTCACAGAAATCTGGGATCGTAAATCATAACTACATTGTTGAACTTGTTTCTTTCAAGGACACTTAGTTTCAATTGTTATAAAAGATTAGGATACAATAGTCTTTATCAATTGGCTTGTATACTTTACTAAGGTTGAATACATGAAGAATGGGAAAAATGATCAATGTCCACATATATCTTTGTTTTGTACCGTTTTTTCTTCATAAATATTAAGTAGATTGGTGAACATGTTTCTTTCAAGAACACAATCGTGTGTAACATGTTAATTTTAGTGAACATATTGTTTTAGTTTCACCTCGCTAAATTTTTTTTGAAATTGTAGGAACCTGCATTATAAAATAAATGTTGAACAAGTCTCTTTCTAAAGACACAGCGGATTATCTTTTTTATATACATGCAAAAACTAGGTTGCTATTCATACATTATTTAGAGTAAAGTACATTGTTGTACAAGATTAGGATACAGTAACTTTTTACCAATTGGCTTGGGTAGATTACCTAGGTTGTATTCATGAAGAATGGAAAAAATAATCAATGTCCATATATATCTTTGTTGTCTCCTTTGATATATTTGCAATTTATTTTTCCCTGTGAATAATTTAGATTATAAAACTACAGCGCGAAATTAAACCGGATATACAATCCGATAAATCTCCATCTAGAATTGAAAAGAGATCATTGTTCCAAATCGTGCTGAAAATAGATCATGAATTATTTTTTCATATTTTTTGATCATAGAATATGACATATGAAAATATAATATATACTCTCCCTTAGAGCAGTACATGACTCAGATAGATTTGGAACTTTGAGTTGTAAGCACATAACCTCCATAATAAAATAACCCCAGAATGAAATCATAAAGACTTCGGTTTCCAAATTTTTTTACAAAATAATTAATAAAAAATTTCCGAACAAGTTTTAAATTCTTTTATTTGAGACTATTGAAATATTGTCGTATTTATAATGGTTGCCGTTCTTGAAATTGACACAAGTTGAAAGTATGCTATTATAATTTTTACTAGATAGATAATGAATGAATTGCTAAAAGCAAAGAATCTTAAATATGAGATCATGTAGAGACATCAACTCCTTACTTTCCTAGACTTATAATTATAGGGATGTTAGCTTTGACATATATGTGGGATTGTATACTGCAATCTGAATATCATTTTATCTGGCTTGTTGTCTTTTTTAATTAATGCATTTTAATATCTATTATCAGATGAGAGCAAAAATTTGTAATTTTTATAATATAGCAATCAAATGAAGTGTTGCACAATACAACGCTTTGTTTCTTAGTTTGACTAAGATAGATTAAAAACTTTATTTTTAGTTTGATACATTATCTATCAAAGTACACATTACGTATGGTGCAAATTCATTGAAACCTGGCTTTTAACTACATGTTTTTTTTTCCCAGTTCAAATGTAAACAGTTCACATTACTTCATACAAAGTTTGACATATGATTCCTCATTTTCCGGAAGATAGCGGGTTCTGTAATTGTGATCTAGCAGAAAATGAGGTGGCAAGAATCAATGTAAATTTATTGAGGCAATTGTTAATGTAGTTGTGTAAGGATGGAGGTTGTAAGATATAGATACTGCAGATGACAAAGTTTATCTTTGTATCAGTCACTGTCATTTTGTAAACTATATGATGGTAATACATATAATTGCCAGAAATGACAGTGATTAATACAAAGATAAACTTTGGTAGTGATATTGAAGACAGATATGGGTATTGATGGATCAAATATCACAAAGTTGTAGCTTGAAGTTACATATGAAGTCCACAGATGATTTGAGAAGACGTGTAGACCTAAATTTTTACAATTGCATCATATGGAATGAGAGTTCTAATAAGCCACGCTGAAATTTCGATGGTTTCATAGTGACTAAATATGAAGACTTTTAACGGTTCTTTCCAAGTTTCAATATTCGAGAGCACTAATTCATAGAAATATCATGTTCAGACGCCAAAAATTTTGCATAGCAAGGTGCAAAAAACGAAGCATGTGTTTTGTTGGCACTAGGACAAAGTCTTCTTTCTTCTGGAAAGCTCATGTATACACACAAGGTCCAGGAGTACAGAATATCGTCTAATGCAGCATTCTATCAAACCCAAGCATGTCGTATCATTTCACAAGTTTCCACACGAAACCCCTCGAGTTTCAACTATCCACCGAGTCCATCCATTTTCTTCAGCCTCATATTTTCAGACCTGTGCTCAGAGCTCTGAGCAAACTCACCGCAGTTGTGATAATTTTGGAAGGGCGAGAACCTATATTAATGAATTTGTAATGGGACATATTGCAAAATGTAAAGTTTGTCCTCCTTTCAAAACTTCTCTTTTGTTATCGTGTTCATCACATTCTCATTTGTTCAGGGCTTGGAAGATTTTTAAATTTCTAACTCTGATTTGATAAGCATCATCATCCATTATCATATTCCAAGTCGCCAAATGTCAAGGGCCCAGACTAAAGTGTTCGACGTGACGCTCATCGAGAGCAAGACTCAAACCTGCAAACACGTCCATCGAATTTGGTGGAATCTGCAGGACGTTCAGCGCTTTCTTTTCGTGGATGATTCACATGGCGACCAACAAAGAAACTTCATATTTATATAATCTGGAAAGTCTAGTGCTATCTTGTTTACTCAGTATACGGTGCCTATATTCTGGTTGTTGAAGTCATCTGCTTTTTGTGTCTTCTCTAGTTAATCAGCTCGTAGTTCTTTCCCAACAAAGCCGTTTGCTGCTGCTAAGAATGAGTCTGAAATATCCGTCAAAGGAATGTGCAGTTGTACGAAAAAGGTCAGCACATGAAGAATGAGTACGAAACGCTGACAAGATCGGTGATACAGCCTATTCGTCGATCATGTCACGACATATTATACGAGACAGAAGGGAGGCCCACGACTTGGTGATCTCGAGACTCGAACAGCTGCTGTACAGATATCAGTCTGTCAGCAGACGTCGCTTCTGACTTCTACTCGGTTTGATCACTTGAAAGGCTTGTGTTCTCAAGCTTTAGTATACTAGAAGAGGCTTGATCTCGCACACTGGAAGATATAGATTTCCAATCAATCTGACTTGCCAGCAGTTCTGATGGATCCTCACGGCATCGGCTGAATACTATGTCTCACCGCCGCAGCGTGAGTGCCGAGAGTTGCAACTGTCATGAGATCATTCTTCCGGAGATTCTTAGAGCATCCTCCGACTCCGACGCTATGAAAACGGAAGTGCTATCTTGCCTTATATAACCTCTGTACTGATCTTCGCACGCGGTGAGCGGCATGCATGCAGATGTGATTTTTCATTTGCAATTTGCTTCGGCAAATCTTGTCACGAGTCGGCACACAATTCTTGAAGGACGTCATTGCTCGAATCGTGTGTCTTCTCTTTCAAATTCAAAGTGTGCAAACCGAATACAATAGCTCAGTATGTACTTTATGATAGAATTGGCTTCTTCGTGTGTAATGAATGTGACTCACCGGAAGCTCTTCGCTGAACTCAGACAGGAAAACAATCAAGCAAAGTGATCCGCATGTATCACATTCAGAATGGATGCGTGAAGAACCTAAATCTCTGAATTCTCAAACCCGTCGACACTCCTCAAGCTTTTACAGTCTAACAGCAACACAAACGAGGGTCTAGTGATTCGTGAGTATGAACGAGACAGAGAAACGAATTTTGCAAGTTCAGGTTGCAGATTCAGAACTTGCTTCGGCATGGAAGCCGTGGCTGGTATTTTACACAGTATCCAGAACCGATTTTTTCTGATGTTGCTAAACTCCAACTCTGACTGCATGCCTAGCGTTATGACCTCTTGATCATTAGTTCTGCTATAGACAAAAGACTCCACAAAATCTCATGCTTAGTCAACCATCTCCAGCTGGTTGGTACATCTGAACAAGTGAAAAGAAAATTGTTTCCTCTAAAATCGGGTTCCAGCGAGGAGAAAGCGTCCGAGCAGTCCTCTTGCTAAATCAAATTCATACGCAGTCCAGTCGGAAAGAATCACCAGAAGATGCTGACGGTACGAAAAGAGTGAAGTGACAGAGATTTGCCTCCATGCTTCTCGTTCAAACCTCCATCAACGTCTTCGTCTCTCGTAAGTAGCCACGAGAGTGACGAGTATCTTCTTATTCTCGTTTGAATGAAGCAGGAGCTTTTCTTGATCTTTTCTGGTTTCGGCTTTGTTTTCAGCTCGGATGGTTGTTCGATCGGAATTTCATCCCACGCGTCTCATATTTCTCGGCCTAGGAATCTGGTCTCGAAATGGATCTCTATCACTGCGCAGGCCTATTCTAGCACTAATTTGCAAGTATTCGTGAGCTGAAAACTTACAGCAGCTGAAATGTGACGCCGACATCCACAGTTAGCTCAGTTGTGCATCTGATCTCGATTTCTCGTGCTTTTGGGCTTTGTATCGATCCTCTACCGATAGCAATCGTCCAGTACGTCGAGGACAACTCTCGCACGGATGAGTTTCACTCGCAGGCTGATGCTGTCTGCCGTCACCGCTCGATGCAGCATGCAACGTGAAACCACGTCCAACTTTAGAGTGGGAGTGGAGACAGTTCTCAAGCTCCTACAGGCTTATCGTCGTTAGCACCTTATAAACCATATCCAACCGCTTGGACGTGTACCGCCTGCAACGAAGTGGATGCAACTCATCGGTCACTCGAAGACCAAATCTCTTCGGTCCTTTCCTTTCATGCACACCAGCCTCCTTCATAGAGTAATTAGGATTCACGGACTTCAGTTTGCAGTAATTTGGAATTGTGAGTTCATTTTCGTAAGCAGACGATGAGTGTAGGATTCGTCATGGAACGATGATTTCCAGTGCGGTGAGTTTGACTCCGCATTTCAGTGTCAGACTTCACGGTCAACACGGCGAAGGAAGAAGGAGTGTAGAAAGACATGAAGGCACAGCCCTCGAGAATCGGCAGGGCTGTTCTACTTGTGAGTGGCAGAAGCTGCAAATGGCCAGCTAGCTGTCCGTGGAGGTTGCAGGCCCAGACGTCCGGCATTCTGAATTCCTCGGGTCCGCGCTCAGTCCACCACAGGAAGACCGAGCACCACTTTCCTGGCCGAGCTCCGATGCACTGCCGGAGATTTATTTGCACAGAGGGTGCGAAAGCCCGTGTACATCCCCACACGTACCTCGACGGTCATACAGTACCAAATTCGTGTTCAGACCCCGAGAACAAGGCATGAGAATTTGCTTCTCGCACAGTGGTTTGCATAATAATAAAGACAGGGCAGACTTCCTCGAGACGAGAGCACTTGATTAGCCGTCTATGATTCTTAATCCGAAGACGATACCTGCTCTCGTATGTGCGCTGCAACTTACAGGTGTCCCCAATCTTATCTGCAATTGAACTTGAGATTGGCCGTGTTGTACACTGGACCAGAAGTAGTGCAGTCCAAATTGGAGCAATTTTGCCATTTGTTTACCCTGCTGGGCTTGCTTGTATTATACAGTCAATATGCAATGGTACTCATAGTCAGCACACTTAGAACAAACAAAATTCATCTCAGATTGAACTATTGAGAAAATATCTAACAGATGAAGATTTGGACCTCGACACCATGTGAATCTGTGGTGAGCCCTGAGCCGAGCAAGTGATGGGACGAGGTTTGGACACCTGCGAGGAAATCTATTCATCATCACAGCCGTCATGACGAGGATGTTCGAGCTTCAAAATTGAGATCAGGGATCCTTCACCGCGGCACATCATAACCATATCTGATTTCTCGTTACTCCCCAAACGCACAATCATATGAACCGCGCGAAAAGTTCGAAACGAGAGGCCGAGTAAGCGTGGTTCATTATCGAGGGGAATGACTCTCACCCCTGGGAAATAGCAGCTCGGAATGATTGATCGATTGATTAAGCGATTGATCGCAGTGGTAAACCTCCGGGCATCATAGAGAATGAGTTAAGTCTCGGTGTCAGAAGCCGACCGGGGATTTATGAAATTCCCCGTTCCATAACCCCGTCGAGATATTCTGCGCAGAAGAAGCATGACCCTCGCCTGGCAATCAATGGAGCTCGACGGTACCGGATTATGGCAGGCTCCGCACACAGCCGAGGCTCGAGCGAGGCCCATGCCGCATGCAGTGTCACGCGTGTTATGGCACTCATCAGCGGCGACGCCATAAAGCTCTCGAACACTGTGGCTTTCTCGTCGGCCGGCATAAAGTGCTGGCCCATCAGTGTGCTTCCCCATAGCCAGCCCCTCCCGTTCCGATCCACAGTGGCCTCGAGGGGTGAACCTCTTTCCCTGAAGCAATAGTCCTCGGCGAATCACGCATGGTGGTTGGTGTGCAATCACTGCCGCCATGGTCATAACGCCCGCCTCGGCAGTCTCGGTCTAGAGGACGAGACTGAGGACGAGGGAGGAGCCACAGCCATAGCCACAGCAGCGAGTCTAGGCGGTCGAGGGATACGAGGGATTCGAGGTATAAATGCAATGGGACGCCATGCGATGGAAACGAGCGGATGAAAAAAGGCTTCCGATGGAAAAGCCATGCGAGCAGTGTCTGCGTTGTTGGAATCGAAGGCCGATCGTCGACTCGAGACTCGTCCTCCCCTCACCGACTGAGAATCTGGAAAGCTGCTTGAGCTTTTTTGCCGAAAGGAGAGAACGCCTTCAGGCCATGCGGCTCGAGGAATAGTTTCCCAAAAGCTGCAGCAGGGACCGAAGGACTGCAAATTCGTCGATCAATCGAGCAGACTCGGGATTTTGCAGTCGAGCGCACACGGACTGACCTCGCACTGTAAGGTCAAATTTGCAGGTGGAACGGGAAGCTCAGTCGAGCTGCAGACATGGCGAAATTGATTCTGAACCTGAAGGTGCTGCGCAGTCAGGCCCAGCTCAAAGGATGGAGCAATCGGCCGCAAGTTCCTCTGATCACCCGATGGCAGCAGAAGACGAAGCCCAAGACGGCGGCATCAGCAGCAGCAGCGGCCAGGAATCTGAAGGCCACGGCAACCACGAGGCCATGGGCAACCACGACGACCAATGTGCTGCTGCTGCATCCGATCTGTCGCTGTTGCACGGACGTGGTGAAATCCGTGAGGCGGCCTTCCAAGAGGCTGGTGTCGAAGGTGACGAGCCCCGGCTCCGCCGGAAGAAAGCCGACATGGGATGGTCTGCCATCGACGCATTACATGAGGCTGTGGCCCGTGTCGGACGAGGACAAACTCCGCCAGGCCAGGATCACGGCCGCCTCCGGATTTCAGCCCATCAACTCGCCGGAGCAGATAAAACCCACGACCAACAAGAGGAAGAAGCGCAGCTGGAAGTTCTGGCAATCTCTCTTCTAGACGACGAGATTTTGGACCCTGCGTAGAATCCTCGATCGAGCTATTATTGTTCGATCGATCCTGGGTTTAGCGGCTTTTGTGGCGGTCGGTGAATCTCCTTTCTGATTTTCCCAATTCGACCGATTGTGGTTTCGTTCCGCGCTAGTCCAGCTCGTGATCTGTACTCCATAGCTGACTTCTTGTTGTTATGTACATATTAATGGGACTCTGTACATTGAGTATTCTCGATCGATAACGTGGACCAGTTCTACACTTTGAATGTGTATGACGAGTGTGATGACGATGATATTGACGTGATGATGGCCTCGGGATCCTCCCATCGACTGACAAGTCTACGGCATTCGATCCACTCTGTCCACACTGGATTTGAGATTGTCATATCTAAGAGCAGCCATCACATTCGCTCGATGTATAAGAAGATGTTGGAAGCTTTCGTGAAACATGTTGATTGGCTTGAACTAGATTTCGTACGTGATCGTAGTAGAATGTAGGAAAACGTTGCACAGAGAACGCTTCGGAGTAGTCGGCGGTCAGCAGATTTACAGCAGTTCAGAGGAGAGCAATGCTTTTTTCCTCGAGAATTTCGATGTCTTCGATCGCTTTATGAGCACATTTATGTGGTTGAAACAGTCAATGTGTCTTACGAGATCGAAGTAAGAACGCCGATATCAGACCGAGGTGGCAAAAATATTCAGGACATGATCTTTCCAGAAATTGTCAATTCAGATTTTTCGACCTTTCAAAGAGAACGTGTCCACAATTTGCTTCGAGGGAATGCCGTCTCGATCAATTCATTCTCTTTACAGGAAAGTCTTAGTGCCTCCACTAATTGCACAAATTCTTCAGAACTTCGTTCAGAGCTACTAGGCCACACGAACACTGAGCACTTGATACAATAACCAAACGCTTTGCTAAGCTGGCTGGAAAGGGCGTCGAAAGAGGGATCTTTCATGGGAAGCGTCGGAGACGTAGAGACAAGTCGATGATTTCAAGCACGTAGACTTTCAGATCCTGCTCTCGGTCGGTGAGAAGAAACGACAATACGCCGGCATAGCCAGAGGAAGCAGTCAAACGATTAGACAAACCAAAAGGGAAACTCAGGAAACTGTATGAAGGAATAGAACTCTCCAGCTGTCCTGACGAGACAAAGGCTAGGACTCTCTGAGGTCAATGATTGACTCAGAGTAGTGTGAGCTGTAGTAATCTCCGTCGTAACGAATTAGATCTCGCTTTATCTCAGTCAGTCTCTTTTCAACAAGAGCATCGAATTTGATCAGAGCCTCCTTTGCAGGAAACTGATCTCATACCTCGATTTGCGTGTACACCTTCACAGCTGACGCTACTGAAGTTTGGATCATCACAGATGCAACATCGAGCGTAACTTGCTCTTGAAATCTACCTCAAATCATGTATCTATGGCAACAAACTATCTCGCTCTGATTCTCACTCAGTGGACAATATCCTGCCGTGCTGAGGATTTGATGGTCAAGTTTTGGCACCGTCAGTGGTTCTGAGGCGATGGCTATGGATTACGTTAAATTACGCTAAACCATGAGGTTCCAAAACGTCAGAAAGCCTCCATTGAGAGCCTCACCCAAACAAAAAAAAACTGGCTGAAAATGCATGTGTAGATCAGTGGCAACAACGATGCCAACAATCCGATCAATTCTCTTTCGGGCTCGGTCGGCAGGCTGAGCTGACGAGGTGCAAGCGTTTCGCGCTTGCTCCCGAGCCCACGAACAGTGCAGTCCATATTGCTGTTCCTTTCTTGTCATTTTCCGGACGCCGACGTGAGAAACATGACGAGACGAGAAACATCGAACAATTTAACCTGGAGTGATCACCTGGCATCAACGAATGGTCAAGCCCGACATGCCAATCATCACAACTGGATCCTTTGACACCAGAGGGTGGCCGAATTTCAATGGCCACTAACAGTAAGTAGTCTGGGTTGCATTGTTTGGATACAAGCACCAATCCTCTTACTCCGGAAGAAATTAAGAGTCTGCACTCCGCCCCGTTTTGTTGAACCTCGAAACAGCTATCGGGTAATTGGGCTGTAGTTACTCAAGAATGGCTTCGAGTACAGTAATGTCAGAATCTGTTTTCACTATTCCTCGTTTGTTCACCGCGAGTGTAACTTTAACCCATAAGTGGACAAGTACCTCATTGCTCAAGAACAGGTACATTAATTCAGACTTGCAAAAAGATCCACATCGGCAGCGTGTTCAGCCCAGAGCGAACTATTCTTTCGCCTTTTACTAAAGAATACCGTGTGCGGGACACAGAAGCTGCGTACGAACAATCTTTGGAACGCCCCTTCGTGGGGCACCACCATCCAAACTCAAGCAGCATCTACTGACGCTCTCCATGGCATCCCCTGAAAGAACTAGGCGCATAATAGATAAAGGAACTGTATCAAGGTCTCTCTCAATACTTGACAACAAGAGGAAGATCTGCGAACTTGGCAGATGAGTTTCTATGAATTCGGAAGACAGATATGACTGACTGTCTTATGAACAATTCAGATGTAACTGGCATGTCAGTCCGCAATATTGACCAGCATCACATCTCATCAGGTCCCATGATTGGTTTAAGCACATGAATCATTTCAAATCATATGCGGATCAGTTGCTTGCATCTGATCCGCATATGCAGTTGCATTGCAAGCAACTGGAGTCCAGGTCCATAAGATGGAGCAACTTAGCTTTCATGATTATGACTCGCATGGCACCCTTAATCAACCTTCCCGAGAGCAATTCAAGCACAACCAAAGACCATGTTGCCACACCTCAGGCGACAAAATCAATTACGCATGTTCGTGTCAAGAAACAGTCAAGCACCGCCGTCGCTGCCACCGACCGATAAGACCGATAAGCTCAAAGAGAGAGTGCAAACTCACGTATAACATAACATTATACATTTGTAGTTATAGTTACAGGTAGTTCATTTTGATTTAGGTGAACCAGTGATATCTCTCATCGTGATATGATTTTCGTTATCTGGATTTCAACTCTTACGAATCATTTGCTTAGAGCAGAAGATTTGATAATCTTCCTACGATTGCTTCATTGTGCTTCTGAATGGGAGGAAATTGATTTGATGATAATTTAGGTCTGTTACAAGGAGTTCGAGGTTGTTGGCTCGGAAATTTTTGAAGGATATTGGACGAGTCTGGTAGAAACACTAAGCGGGAGTGGAAGAGAAGGAGGTATTGTTGGGAGTAGTGGTAGTGGGAGCAATCATGTAGTGCACAAACTGCGGAGTTTGATGATGCAGATAGGAAGTAATTGCCATGATCCCGAACCTTGTCTGCCTCTATCATTGGCGGAGATTTTGAATCTGTAAGAATCGAGATACGAGCATGCAACTTTGAACCAGGAAGAATCATGTTGGGAGCAGACAACGAGACATCCATTCACCAGCAACTCCCGTTACTCGCATACGATTGGGTGCCTTGTGAATATGATCCGAGAAGATGACAACTTTTTTGAAGCTAGATGACTCAAAAATTTCTTGTCTAGAGCGGACATTCAATCCTTGTACCTGCTGGTGGTGTAAGATTATTTCTAGTTTTTTTTATCTTGCTGGATGTATATGCATGTAGAGTATTCTCACGTTTTTTAGGACCAAAAACTTGTTAGTATCAAGCACTGGATCACAGAAGATGCATCCAAGGCCGGGTGATGGATGGAATCAGATTTCGATAGGGAGTAGTTCGGCAACCTCTGTGGAGCTCCGTTCGGGTTGGGTTCGGGTCGGGTTTGACCTTCAACGATTTGAGTAGAGTCCGAATCGACTCGTGAGGGGATGCAGAGTGGAGGAACTGTGAGGGAGAATCTAGAAATTGGAGCTGCGAGTACTTTCTTGACGAGGATGCGATGCAATAATATTTCGAGGAGACGAACTAGCAACATAGGTAGTGCAGCGTGCAGTAGCAGCGAGGTCCAGCTAGACTTAGAAGCAAGCAAGGGAGCGGGTGCCTTTATCGCATAGAGCGAGGTGCGCAACAAGAGGGACGAGGAGTAGAAGGTGTGCCAGACACGAGAGGAGATGCAGAGTTTTGCGAGAAGGGACGGAAGCCAATGTAAACCACCTCTACGGACCACCTAGACTTGCAGCTCAACTCTTATTGGTCGTTGCTTTAGGTTTTCGGGTCGGGTACAACTCCTCTACCCGAACTCGAGTTTTTGGATTTTACCCGAACCGATCGACAAGAAACCTTCAAAATTGATGGATACTAAGATTATGCAACATGTCTTCAGAAGATCGCGTTACAATTGAATGACGTGATAGAAGATGTACTAACAACTAGTATGGTGGCCAAGCTTGTGCACTATTTGAAAGTCCCTACTCTTTCTGAAATTAGGGCAAGATGTAGAAAACAAATCTCTGACAAGTGGTAAAACGAGAGAAGAAGTACACGCGAGAGTAAAAATGCATCTAAATCATCATGTATGCAGGAAAGTTGGGGTTTGATAGAGTTAGAATTCAGAAGGTTGTCATGGAAGAATCTGCAGTTGATATGAGTAGTGAGAGAAACTAACAGATGAAGAAAGAGGCGTAGAGGAGAAAGATGGTAGTACTACCGTTGAAGTTTTCGATCAAGCTTGATAGACTTATGACACATATCGGGACGCACAGTTAAGTGAATATATGAGACATAGGACTTGAAGCAAATACAAAGGGGACTTAAAAGTAAAGAGCAATATAGAGTTAAACCTCCCAATAGTTTCACCTTCTATGATTGATATACTTCCATTAGTGAAATGAAAATGGAAATCCATTAGATTCTAACTTTCAAATCTGTCCAATAATAACATTACGTCATTATTCGTTATAGTGTCATGATATTATTTAAGAGTGATAGTGTCAAACTTTAATACCTATCAGAATTATATGCTTGCGGGTTTAAAATTGAATGAAAGTCAAACAAATTTTAAAATCAGATGGATTGAACATAAACTTACAATCAAAATGTGAGAGAGAATTGATTGAAAATCAATACAATGAAACTATACTTCCTCGACTACAAACAGTCAAACATAAAGACGAACATAACTTCAAGACGATTGTAAATCATTTTGACATTACTTTCATCCATATCTAATCTTAGATACGTTCAAGACGAAATGTAATTCATCACGACACTACTCTCATCCACATCTAATCTTACGCATTTATCTTCATTTGTTCACTCATGTGATTATGATTATTAAACTTCAATCATGTACATTTGACAGAAAATAACAACCAAATGCAAATTGTGTTCTCATCATGAACATCAAACGATTGCACATTCATGGTTCACTATCAAGTTGAGGTCAGGATTCAAAGATTTCTGCTCTCGTATGCAGAACTAATTAGCAATGAAACTTGTTAAACAGATAAATTCAATCTTAGTGCCTTCTTGTACATCCCAAACCAAATACAAGCCAACTATATCGTGTTGTATGGCTATGGAAAAAAACATATGATTCGATTACTTTGGATTTGTGTTTCATAGAGTTAGAATTTCACCACAGAGTTCAAGTTACAAAAGAAAAAACATTTTGCATCAAACTAGAGAAATTGATCTTCTTGTCGGAGTATGCGGCTACTAAAGTAAGATGAAGAAGATGTGACGTGCATGCAATCAAGCAGATATCACCCTCGTAAACATAACTTCATGCTCTTCATTTTC